TAAGTGATTGGCATGCAGAAAACGTAGTAAAACTGAGCTTTTACTTTAGCAGCAGCTTTTTAGAGTTTTCAAAAGCTTTCAATTAGGTTATGGTTAAAATACAAGCTGAGAATATTACATAGTGACTATCACAGTTCTATGGCAAAAACTAAACAGCAAAGGAAATTTTATGCTCGTCTATATGTTGCAATTGTTCTTTACGAAATATATTTAATCCCTTTAAGAGGAATATGTTAAATCCATCTACATGTATATATTTAATGAATTTGTTACAATATTTTAATTAATTAACATAGACGAATATAATGTTCATAAAAATTGTTATTTTTTCTTTTTAAAGTATTCAATAGTTAGAAATTCCTATCAATAGATAATAAAGTCTAAATTCTTCTTAATACATATGTAGTATATTTAAATATTTACATATTGATTTGGTGATCTTTTTATTTTATCACCCTAGAGCGTAGCGTCCACTTTGTTTTGAGCAATTGGCCATTTCTTCTTCTTAACCTATATTATTAGGCGAATTTGCCGAGCTTAAATCAATTCCGTCGCTGATATCCTTCGAGGTATGGCGACAACAAATATACCAGTTACCCCGAGGTGTGGTGAGAAAACTGGCACAAATTTTTCAGTCACATTGAATCTCACCTATCACAAAATAAATAAACGATATTAGATGAATAGCCGTGTTTTTCATACGATATCCATAAAATTTTACACTCTCTCTGCGAATCTCGTTATCTACGCAAGAGGATGAACGTAAATAAAGGTTGATAATGCTCCGCTTGAATTTTCCCAACATCTCTCTATTAGCTTTGCAGCCAATTAACCATCATTCGATGGTTCTTGTCTTTCCTAAGTAGAAACAATAAGTTTCAGAATTCTAATAACTGATAAATTACTGCTTTAGTCCAACGAGTTCGACTTGCTGTGGAGGATAAAACGTTCGCTAAAGGATTCGGATTATTTTGCACTTAAAACAGATATTTTTGCCAGGTATTTACTTCTGCATATACCAAGCCGAAGCAGTTTTGACTGGTATCGCTGTATTTTATAACTTCATATTGGCTTTGTGAGAAAATTATATAGAGGGACTTTATGATCCAAGCATAACCCTGAATTTTTATATAATTGACCGAAAGGGTGACAGCCCTTGGCCGGATAAAATCTAGATCAACTCCGGTGCGTTGAGAGTTGAATTTATACATAGTAACCAGTGGGGGTTTTAAATTAAAAGTGCTGTAGTTTAGCAAAAATTTGGCTCTTCCAGGCCAGTCGCCTATTCAGGTGGATGCCGACGTTTTTTAATTTCCCTCGCTTGAGGGACCACTACGTTGTTTAGTTTCAGTATTGGCCATGTTTCAGTCTTTAGATGGAAGACTTTTGCTCGTTCTCTTTTATGCGCCAGTTCGTCAACTAACTTCCAACGAGTTTTAAGTGACTAGTGTGATTCGGTCTTTTTATGGGCACTTGCTCTAACATAAAATAGCGGTATCGTCTGCGAATGCCCGCGTAGGATGTTTTCCCTTTTGACATTGGGCTGCTACTGCTGTTGTTTTATATTGTAGGATTATCTATTTCGTGGTTTTAAAAGTACAAGACAGTATTTAAATTTTTAATTTATAAACCAAAATAAAATGTCAGACCAAAAACAATTCTCAACTCTTTTATCTTGCATTTAAGGCGATGCATTTTCTATACAAAAAACAAGGAATATTTTCACCCATTATAATTATTTTAATTTTTTACATATATTTCTTTTCAATAAAAAAAAATAAATTTCCAATCTCTTTCAATGTTATTTTTTAATTTACATGAAAGTGTAAAGGAGCAGACTAAGGAACGGCAACTCCCATTTATACAGGGCTATCCGTTTTGAAGTTTTGGTAATAAATAAATGCCTTTAAAATATTTTTTTTGATAAAATTTGTGTTTTATTATTGGATGAGTGCATAAGTTCGTGCCCGATTTCAAGTGCAAACTAAAATTGAAATTTTTTGAAGAAAACGCTTTTATTAATCAATTATGTATTCGCCATCATGTTCGGCAATACACTCCCAACGTGCAACCAATTTACGGATGCCTGATTCATAGAAATCGCGCGGTTTCTCGTTGAAAAAGGCGTCAAGGTGGTTTTTGACGTCTTCCACATTTTCAAATTTTTTTCCATTCAAATTGTTCTGCAGCGATCGAAACAACTGACAATCAGAAGGTGCAATGTCGGGTGAATATGGGGGATGCGGCATGATTTCCCAATTCATCTCCTTCAGTTTGGCCAGGGTCGGTTTTGCAACATGTGGCCTGGCGTTGTCATGATGGAAAAGAACTCCTTTGCGATTGGCCAAAATCGGACGTTTTTCATCAATTGCTTTCTTCAATTCGACCAATTGCTGACAATACTTGTTGGCAGTGATCGTTTCTCCAGCTGGCAAGAGCTCAAAATAGATCACGCCTCGGATATCCCACCAAATGCACAGCAGTACCTTCATCGGATGCAATCCACCTTTCGACATCGGTTCCGCCCCTTCGTGTGCCTGTTTCCATGTTCTTTTGCGTTGAACATTGTTGTACAGGATCCATTTTTCATCACCAGTCACGAGCCGATCCAAAAAAGGTTCGTTTTTGATCCGTCGAAGCAAAGAAATTGCTGTTGACATACGGTCCACTTTGTTTTTTTCACTCAACTGATGTGGCACCCATGTATCGAGCTTCAAAGTGTACCCAACCTTTTTTAAACGACGAAACGCAGTTGATTTGTTGACGTTCAATTCACTGGCAACCTCTTCCGTCGAAATACGTGAGTTATTCGCAACTAAAGTCCTTAGAACATCGTCATCAAGCTCAGAAGGCCGTCCACTGCGAGGTTGATCTTCGAGGTTAAAATCTCCAGAACGAAATTTCGCGAACCATTTCTTTACTGTGCGGAGTGCTGGAGCACGGTCCAAATAAACTTCGCGAATATCTTTAGTTGCAGCGCCTACTGTTTTTCCTTTGCGGAATTCGTATAACATAATATGACGCATATGATCTTTTTCGTTGTCCATCTTCCATGCGTGTTTTCACTAAGCAACTCAAATCAAAATGAAGTTATTTTATGCTTGATTTACAGTTCGGGCTGTCGCCTGTCCAACGATATATAATATGTATATATTTCTTTCACGAGCGCCACTCTTAAACGATTCGAACGGCATCCAGCGGAATCGGGCACGAACTTATGCACTCATCAATATAATCTCTGAATTTTGGAGCTATATGTCAAAAACTACATCATTCCAATGACCACCTTGCTAATTTCCGCAAACCTCGATCTGTAATTTCGACCACTTTTCGGTACATGTTAGGCGGTATCTCAACCAAAGCTTGACAAATTTTAGGTTTCAAGTGCTCAAGAGTTAAAGGCTTATCCGCATGTTTCCCATGGTCCAATAAAGAAAAGTTCCGACAGTTTCGAGTCTACGATCGCGGGGGTTAATTGGCATCGCCAAGATGAGAGACTACGTGACCAGGAAATTTCTATCGCAATAAGTTGCGTTCTTCAATTACAAGTTATTGTTATCATACTACCATAACGCTCCGAATTTACAGTTACTATCACACCTTCGCACCAGACATTCAGTGTTTTTTTGGATGCCCTTTTCAATTTTTTGATAACTATCGAAGCCCCAGACATAATAATTTTGCTTATTTAATTATCCCCCGAGTGAGAAATCTGTTTCGTCGATGAAGAAAATTTTGTTAGAAACATCGCCGTACGTTGATTGTTGTTTAAGTCCCTAATCGACGTTTAGATGAGCTGAGCCATAATGTGCGGAAAGAAGGTCCCAGTGAAGACACATTCGGATCTTGAGCTAAACTTTCACAATATTTGAGGTTGAACGGACACAACGATGAGGCATTGGCGTTATCCAGTCCCTTTATATACACGGGCGCACGTTAGGATCACCATTTTTGTAGTAAGCTATAACTTGAAATTGGCGGCCGCGGTAGCCGAGTGGTTAGCACTACGTACTGTCATTCGGAAGGCTAGGGTTCAAACCTCGGTGCCACCAACATTCAAAAAGCTACGGAAAATGAATTTAAATATAAATTAAGTTAAATTTTCTAATATTTTATTCAAATAATATTATATTTACATAATATTTTATTTAAATAAATTTGCTTTTTTTACATGAGTCAATCTCCGCAGCTCCCAGCAACTATCGGCTAATAGCATATTGTTATCCCGCAGTCATACAGCGCAAACTAGCAAAATTCAAGGATAATTGAGTTAAGGAAAGGTAGTTAGCTAATAATCGCGTAATTATTTAAAAAAAACGTGTACATCAAGTGCATCCATCCCCTTAAATGACTTGCTCTGAGGCATACTTCTAATTTTTAAATGCAAAAAAAGTTTCCTATAATACAACCGTAATAAATATTTTTCAAAGCTTTAAGTGGACTAGTAAATTGCTCAGAAGCTTAACATGCTGTTAGTTTTTCATTCATCATTAGAGCTACAAAAACCAACTTTTACTGCGCTGCGCTGAGCTTAAAGTTGCACACGAAGTTGCTGCGTTAAAGCTTTGAACGAAGTGTGTTCATTAAAAAGAAAGTTTTACAATTCCCATACACTCATACTCATAGGTGACAGTACGTGTAGTAAAAGTTTTGTAATCCGCTGTGGGTGAGTAAGTTTTCATTTTGACAACTAAACAGCTGATTTACTCCCGAAGTCAATTACCATGCAAACAAACCACAAGAGAAAAGCACTACAGGCGGAAAATTACACAAACAAAACTGCAAGTGAAGAGTACAAAATATAAATGAAACATAAAAGAAAAAGTTCTCATTCGTTAAAATTACTAAACATTACAAAAACACATGAATATACATCCATTCATGGTGCTCCTTTATTTGGTTTCGTGCTGGTATGTTTTTGAACTTTTACATGCTTAGGGGTGCTTGCCACTGAATACTCCACGATGTTGAACGACAGTTGCGAGAGTTGTGGCATTAGTGTCAGTATCGTGCAGCGCCATGACGCGCACTGCTCAAAGACCAAGGCAAGACGAAAAGTGACATAAAGATAACAAAACAATAAACAATAAACAGCTCCAACTTTCTATTACTACTATCGCTGCTGTTGAGTATACTTTGACGAGCTGTTCTCTATTTTCTTCACTTATATAGTATATTTCCCATTACATCGAATTGCACTACAGCGAGAAAATGTGTTTTTTTTTGTTTCATTGCGCTTATTTTTACTTGACTTACTTTGACGTTGCCTTTGTCTTTTGACCATGTTCAATCATGCTGACTCGTGCTGAGGTGCTTTACACATTTGTATAACAACATAACAATGGAGAGTCGTGTGTGATTACAAATTACTCATAACATAACGTACGCGAAAAGTGAAGCAAAATGTGTTTGTTTGATTTATTGTGTTGTGTATTAAAGAGAATGTGTGAAAACCAAACTAAGAATTAAAACCTTAAAGAAGAAAACCAATTCTAGAAAGAAAATTAATATAAAATATATACCGTGTGCAGTGAAAAGTGGCAGCCAAGGAAACAGATTACCTGTGTTGTTGTTTTAATAGTTATATAGTTACACTCATTAGTTATTTCATGAAAATAAAATCGACTTAAAATACTTTGTTAATGACAGAAACTTTACCAAACAACACTTGGAAACTTATTTCCACACTTTTTGTAGCATACTTTGCGGCGCTCCATAACATTGAACTACTACGAAATCCTTGACCTGAACCAATGCCGTCACTGAAAAATTGATACCTCAGCAACAAAAAACAAGACATATCGACGGCGTACAGGCAAGTTCATGTAAGAAAAGTCATAATAATAAGAAGAATAATAAAATCGGTAACAACAAACAATAAACAAAACTATACGTTTGTACGATAATAATAACAATAAAAGTAAAGCGGAAACAACAACTATGCATTATACAAGTGAAACTGAACAAAACTGAAAGAAGGATATTCAGCTAAAAATAAATGCAGCTACAAGTTTCCCCTACATTACCACATTCTAAGGCGTTTAGGCGTCAGTTACGAAACCGGTGCGAATTTTAACTTAATATATAATATATTAAAAATATAATAATAGCAGCACAAGTGCAATGCAGGCAACTAAAATCATATAAACGAATTTGAAACCTACAACAACTCAACTTTGTATACTTAGTATACGCGTAAAAGCAACGTGAAATTTCTGCAACGGAAGTGTAAATGGCAACAAACAAAAGCCATCACATCAACTGGATTAACTACATAAAGCAGTTATAGCAACAACAACAGCAATATAAAATCCCGAACCACCTGCCGCAGCCGCCATACTTTTCACATTAAGCGTGATTTCCTGTAACCGCGTGGCTTTTAGTGTGACCTTAACGGCATTTCCACAAAGTCGCGCATTTGTCAGCTATGACCCGCTTGCTGCGGTAGAGGCTATGGAAGAAAACATTGCAACGCCAGCAGTAGCAGACACAAGCTCAACAAACTACCTTCAAACCAATTTGTTACGGCTTTCAGTTGGGGGAAAATCCCCTTTGGCCACATAGGCCACAATATGGGCTCATGTTTCGGGCGTTGTGAGTCGAAGGATGCCACTCATGGCAATGGCTCCACCGCAACATCCTGTTTGTGGTAAGTGACTCGCGTATGCGCTTAATTAAAATCTAATTGCGTTGGTAGGGTAAAGAAATGAATGGCTGCTGGAGGCAAATTAACACACATACACACACAAATACGCTTTTCCATGCGTACCCCGTAGTGAGATGTCAGACTAATATGTAAAAAATTTTAGTTTGATACTACTAAATAAAGGGTGAAATCATATCAGTTCGTGATTTGCACACAATTAAATAGTAACGGGAATAATAACAAATTTTACCATGTATGTTGAATAAATTTTCAACATACCACTGATGAGTCTCTCTCGATACAATTAGCTAAATGACGTTTGTCGGGGGCTTAGAGGTCTTTAATGCATAATATTCACGATTCGAATCTGTCTGTAGATTTTTTTTATAAATTCGTAGTATAAACTCGAAATGCAAATATGAACTGGTATTTAACTAGTATAAAGCTGACGCTTTGGGAGATATTGCCATATTTAAAATGACATTTGCAGTTACAGTAAAATGGTGGAAGATTGGCTGGTTAGTCGAAAATTCGAACTGGTAGGATTCTAGTTAATAATTAGTTCTATTCCCTGCAGGAAAAGTGTGTGCACACGTATACATATGCTTGCTTTGCTCGTCAATTTAGTAGCAAATTTAATTTTCTAAAATTTGGCAAAAGTATCGCTATAATATACAGGCAGAACAATATCCATACAAATATGTTTGTTATGATTTGAGAGGGGCTTAGCAAAAGTTCGGTAAGTCAACCAGAAAAAAAATCTTTTAGTATTTACTCGCAATATTTGTCCTTTTTATTTTCTCTACATAATCATTATTGATTTCAATGCATTTCTTAGGCCTTAAGAACCACTTCTGAAAACAGTCTTCAATATCTTGCTTTTTAAGCTTATCAAATTCAGCACTAACCGTTTTTCTTTTACATTTTTTTTTTAAAGTTTGGAAATAACCAGAATTCACAAAGCAATAATTCGGAGAATATGCTGCTGGATGTACTTCTTCGATCCTTTAGATCGAAATTAAATTATTATTGGTTATTTGGACTGTGTAGGGCGACGCGTTGTCATGATGTAAAAACTAGCGCCTCTTTCTTTCTGTTTTCCAACAAATTTTCGATAACTTGCACTCTTCGGTGTACCATTTTGCAGTTACCTTCTGACCCTTTTCCAGTGGAATAACAGCTATGATTTTATATGGGGTGAAGTAAACTGGCATAATTACATTTGCTGCTGATTTTTGTTGCTTAGATTTTACGGGCTTGCTTTTGAACCAAGACTCGTCCCCAGTAACGACTAGACTGTAGTTGCTGGACTGTCCACTTTCGAAATTATTTATCACAGTTGATTACTTAATATTCAGGACACAGACAAGCCATTCAACCCCAATTCATTAGCAAGCCTTTCTTGTGTTAATTGTGGGTCTTTGTTAATTTCGGACTTCACCAAAGCTATAGTGACGTCGTCAGTGGAAGATCTTGGTCGACCTTTTCGGGGCTCGTCCTCTATGAAAAAATACCCGGTCTGAAATCTTCAGAACCACTTGGAATTAGTCTTTAAAGACGATGTAATCGTTCCATATACAACTTGGCATTCACTCAATATTTGTATTGGCTGTAAATTACGCCGAAGCCCGAAAAGAATCACATAACAAATTTCTATTTCGGCCGATCGTTCTAAAATTTGAAAGGAAGACTAATAAAGCAATTGCAGAGTTTAATATTTTTAGATTTAACAAAAACAAATTGAAAGTCACAACTGATCGAACTTTTGTTAATCCCCTCGTACATACCGCTTCCGATAAAGTAAGGTGGAGCTTACTTTGAATGGAGTCAAACAGACGAGTGTACTTTTTCGAAGTGAGAGTGCTGATTTGTTTTTGTTTTATCTAATTTTTTTGATGAAAGCCAGGTTTAGGTTACTGGAGAGCGCTAAGTATTCTACCATCCAGTAGTTTGCTTGCAACCTTCTCTCTATAAATATATTTGCACCATATTTTTCAACCTGTTGGGTGAGCGTAGCCACACTAGGTCGACTTATTTAAATTTTTGTTTATACATCTTGCATCTTGTTACATCCTGCCCAAGAAGAAAGATGTTCCTTTTGAATACCAGGAAACTTTTTTTGTACACACCAACGCGCTTCTTCTCTCGTAGAAAAACTCTCGCCCACAGTTTGCTACACAAAGTTAATATTATACATATATCTGCTTTGCGTAGCTCCACAGCCGTGTATAATAAATAAAAGCACTCTATTGCATTAAAAAGTCATGTAGTGAAAACCTCGGCATTTATGTGGCGTTAGTCTGTCTGTATGCGTCGACAGCATCACCGCGTTCTCGTCCTTGTCTTTTGTGCTCCTAGCAACTAAGTAAACAAACAGTCTGCTAAGTGATTCAAAGACAATTACGAGCTGTCTGCTTGCTTGCTTTGCAATTAGAGTAACTTTCATCAGTGCTCATCACTTTTTGATTTGTTGGTATACTCGTACATGCATATATAGTATAGACATGCTTCCTCATTTGCTCAATTGATATTCCTTCAACGCCTTCGCCTACAGCATCTTTTTCTTTCTTATGAAGTCATCGTATGACCTTCGGGCATCATATTTCAATTTGAATCACTTCACCAGTACAAGAGTATCTCTTTAAATATGTACACACGTGTATATAAGCTCATAGATATTATATAATATCTGCCGGTTCTTTTTCTCTTTTGGGGAAGTATTTACTGTTTAAAAACTTAGTACCTTCAATTTAATTACATTTTTGAGTTAATTGTAGACTACCCTAATCTACCTTCACTTAATGTGTCTACTTAACAGCATCACCGATCGATTATATGGTGTCTTTCAATTTGGTTTTGTTAAGTCTAAATATATCAAACCCCTTGCAATTACTTTCTTAGTCTTCTTTTCAAATTTTAGAACCATCGTCTAAAATGGAGACGAGAAAACGAAAGATAGCTGAGAATAGGTCAGACGGAATTCCACCACCAACGCAAACAGAAATTCGCCATGGGATTTTCTACGGGTTTCGGCGTAATTTACAGCCAATACAAATATCTAGTAAATCCCAAATTCCATAAGAAACGATTACGCCATTTTTAAAGAATATTTCTAAGTAGTTTCGAAGATTCCAGACCGGAAATTTTTCTATAGGGAACGAGCCCTGAAAAGGTCAACCAAAAACTTGCACTGATGACGTCACCAAAGCACTTGTGAAGTGCAAAATTGACGAGGAACCAAGATTGACAAAAGAAATGATTGCTAATGAACTGAGCTTGAATGCCATGGACTTATCACGAATATTAAATAATCAAATGGGATACACAAAGAAATTTGCTCGATGAGTACCACAAATTGTAAATGAGGCCTAAAAAGACGATCGATGCGTTTTGCTCAATATTTCCAAAAGAAATTCGAAAATAGTTTGTCTAGCTACTTTAGTAAAGTCGCTGCCTGTAGCGAATCTTGGTTCTATAAGAATGATCCGGAAATCAAACAGCAGTCCATGGTAAGAAACCCAAAACCACAGCAAGCCCACCCTTTAAATCTTAGCAACAAAAATCAGCAGCATAAGCAATGATGTAAATTTACTTCCCCCGATCTAAAATCTGCTGCTACTGCACTGGAAACGAGTCAGACTATAAAATTGTAGACCGAAGAGTGCTCACCACAAGTTATCGAAAATTTGTTGGAAAACAGGAAGAAAGAGGATTTGCGGCGCTACTTTTTACATCGCAACAACGTGTCACCCCACACTGCCGAAATAACGAATAATTTAATTGCGATCTCTGGGATCGATTTCTTGTTATTTCCAAAAATTTTAAAGGAAAGGTATTTAATTGTAACGAGGAGTTAATAAGTGTGGTTAATGCTGAACTTAATAAGCTTAAAAAGCAGGATGTTGAAGACTGTTCTTAGAAGTGGATCTATAGGCTTCAAAAATGCATTGAAATCAATGGCAATTTTTTTGTTCTGGCCAACTTAGCGAATTTTTATTTATCCACTCGTATATGGGATCTGAAACATGACTCTTGGACAAATATACTTTATATCAAATCATACACATGGAACGAGAACTCAGCCAAGAATGTTAATATTAGCAGTTTTCTATCTCCCAGATGATATTCAAACTTTCACTTAGAAAGAGTTCTCATGTCTAACTACCGCTCATTTATAAGGATTCATAATCAGAGTAAGTTCAAAGTTGGCATATTTATGGGAAAACCTACTAAGAAGGGATCCTAGCCAAAATACAGACTATGGCTTGAAAAAAATTAACTCCAAAAGCTAGACCACCAATAAGCAGCTAGGCTAAGCGAAATATAGGACAGATAGACTCATAACTTCCAACCCCTTTTCAGGGAGGTGTCGATATTGTCCTTAAATAAAACTCTCTCATGGACATACCACGCACCAGCCCCATATTTATCTCACTTAACCGCATTTTGGCTGAAATCCATGAGATTTTGAATAAATCACAATATGAACCACACCTAATTGGGTCACTCGCTGTGATTGCATAGCTTTTAGGCAATCATAAGCCGGATCATGGTACACAACTCGTAGCACGTCGCAGCAACAAGCAGACACAATGAATTTTTGGCAGCCTACATAAGCAAGAGAACAGACAAGTGGATACCACAAGAACCTTGGTTTAGAATAAACACATAAATAGCTTTTATCTGGAAATACTCGTACGCAAGCGAGCACTGGCTGCTCTTCACTAGCAGACAAAGTGCATCTTCAACCACAATCACATGAGACATAGCACTTAAGCCGAGCATATGTAGCAGAGACACGATGCCTGCATGTCCGTCTCAGCTCAAGAGAGTGTTGGTGGTGCTGTGGGGTGCAAGTATTAATGTTCTATGCTTCGATGTGCGAATGCTTAGGAGTTCACTGGCCTAAAAGTAGACATATATACACATTACACACATTCAAGTATGCAAGCCATGCAACATGTTTTACCGTTGTAAGCGTTTGAATGTAGGCGAGAAGTGACGCTGCTGGCGGCGGTGCTCATTATCTGCTTTTGTTTGGCAGCGTAACATGATTTTATGGTTTTATGGAGTGCTATCATTGCAACCCTGTTTTTTCAGTAAATGGCAGAACATATGGTTTATTTACAGTTTTATGAACGTATAAAAGTGTGTGCGAAAATAAATGTGTGTGGTTGGCAAGTTTTGCTTATTTTATATGTATTCACACATAGGTATTTTGTGTTGTCTACTTATAGGCGGCGCCAACGACATGCAACAGATGAACAAGAAGCGGAACTCGTGTCGAATGCGAGCGACAAATGCCCGAAAGAGAATTTCATATATCGCATTATTAAATTTAAATCGAAGGTTAGTAAAAGTAAATTAACGATAAAACCTCCACACAATAACATTTCAAAAAAAAATTTCTCTTTTACTCTCTCAATTTTCTCTACAGCAAAAACGACCGCAATTTATAGATAAATTTTGGGAGCGACGGGATAAGCAATATACGAAATTATCAAACAAGAATGGAACTGAAGGGTAAGATATACTGTTTGTTGTGATATAAAAAGTCTTAAAGGTCTTTATTAGTAGTGAAATGGAATCACCATAACGATAACTCCACCATTTATGAAGAAGCTAGGTCATGAATTTTGATAATTTTTTCAAGCACCGTGTTTTATAATAATATTAGAAACGTGAGAAAAAACAGGAGCGCGACTAAAGCTTGCGAAACACGCCAGCTTCGGTGTAATCCTTATTGCAGTATGGCTTGAGAAGGTTATAATTGGTGCTTTGTAACCGCCTAAGCGATTTTCGCCGAAGCTCCTCCTTCAATTTGTGGTTTTGCGTCTTGATCCTTTTTCAACAAATGGGGGATCTACAGTTTAGATTAAGCCGCCTCCGAACGGCTTATGGTTTCCATGTCAGAAATACACTTGGAGGGGTTGAAATTCTCTGGCGAGGGGCGACCGCAAAATTATAAAATTTAACTTAATTTTCTATTTAAATTAATTTTCTATAACTTTTGAATGCTGGTCGCAAGGGGATTTAAACCCAAGCCTTCCGAATGGCTGTACGAAATGCTAACCACTCGACTAACGCAGCCGCCGAGAAGGTTTGAGTAGGTTATTGCGTATGAATTGAATTGTTGCAAATCATAACCAGTACCGTTCTCGGAAGAGATGAATTACAGCTATCATTAAGAAAATTCAATAAAATTTCACCATTTAAAAACTGGCTGCAAGATATAGGGAAATCTTAAACAAACCATCTGCTGTATGCAAAACGCCCGTGGTTTGGAACTCCGTACACGGAGACGTTCCAGGCAACTCAACCTAGCTAGAATGATAAAAATCCGAATTACGTCTAATTTTGCCCTCAGCGTAGGCATAACTCTTCCCTCAAAAAGATAATAACTCTAATTTTATCACCAGTAGGGTCAATAGCAGATGGCGACGCAAAACCACATGCAGTTTAACCAACAGGTTTAGCCATTGATTGAAGATAAGAGAGCAAAGTATCTGCTCCTTCAATAAGTGTCACAATCGTCGTAACAACCGGACATTGCCTGATGAACTGCACGGCAGCAGAATGAGCATGCGTCTTCTGCTGCAGCTGAGGGGCCATCGATCTGCAGTAGTTAGTAGAGCAATTCTTCTGCCTCTACGCAACCTTAAGGGTGCCTCGTAACCTTTTTTTCGAAAATTTTTATTTCGACTGTCTTGCAAAACATTCTTCAGCAAGTATCAGAATTCTTATGGGCTTCATAAAACTCTCTAAATACTTAATATGGTTTGATCATGGCTCTGTGTCCTATCAACAACAAAAACTTTCTCAGCTTACTTACCCACTAAGGATGCGTCGTTCTTCTCAAATGCTGTAGCTGCAAAATGCATCCACCAATTGAGACTGCAAAGACTGTTGTTTTATTACTTCCCTTTAAGCATATTTTTTAATCTTCACATCCCTTACAGCCTCTCCGACATCCAACTCCAGAATCTCGACGTACACAACTTACTCAGTAACGCCATACACTCCAACGAGTCTGCGCTCAACTACTGCATGACTGAAGCTCAATATGCGGCAGCAAGCTCGCATGCTAGTTCCTCGCTCGATCTCGAATGGGAGCATGAGTACGCGCATATGCGCCAGCTCTACCAACCACCGCCGTTAACACATCACAGTACACAATCCCTACTCCACACTAACACCTGCGGCTCACGCCATGGGAGTACTCACAGCACCAGCAACAACAACCTCGCACAATACGCCGACAGCAATAGCACACCGAACCATCAACTACATGTACTCAACAACAACCATACATTAGGTATGTGCCATCGCAGCACGACATACGACAATCACCCACTGCTGAATGTACACTTGAACGACTCATGGCAATATCTGAGCAATGGTGATGACGAACAGCTCAACTCACTCGCCTCATATTCACAATCACAATCACAATCGCTACCGCATGCGCCCTTAAATATCGCTGCCATGTCGGTGGCGACGGCGCGTGCGGCGGAGCGTAGTGAACAGCGTCAGCGTATACGTCGCAATGGGCAGGCGCAACCAATTATCGATCGTCGCAATAGTTCCTTTACACGCACATCGTCGTCGCACAACTCATGGTCGCACATCTCAACACCGGAGTCACTTGAATGGGATCAGGACGAGGAGCAACAGCGTCAGTTGCGCGTAGAAGATGACAATTTGGATGTCGAGACGCTCGCGTTGCTGCACCAAATCGAACAGTTGAAGAATCGTGTGTTAGATGAGACAGGGGATGGACTATACGATGACGGCATGTTAGTAGCCCGTGAGACGGACCTGAGTGACGGTATACACTTTACGATGGATGGAACGTGTCGCAGCGCCGAGGAGGAGCCTAAAGATATCAGTTGATCGGTTGCAAATGCTGCGCTGGTGAACGCGAAGGTTATTTAGGTTTGGTTTGTTGAGATTGAAAAATATCAATATTGGATTGAATGTTATTCCGTATAATCAAGTGCCTAGACTAAAGTATCATTATATACTATAAACAAAATTTAATTAAAGGTACTGTTATCAATACATAGACTAAAGTTATTAGGCAAAGTCATGGTAAATGCGCAGAATCTGGGAAATTAACGATTAATCTACCCTCTTTCTTTTGTGCTTCTACTACCATTAACGAAAATCCATAGTATTTTTATCAACTGAGTAATGCAAAGAATTAGAATTGTTTTTTAATTATTCAGAAAATCCCCTATACTTTGAGAATTCCGGTAGTTTTGGAAGAAGTTGGACACAAATTCTTAGCTGCTTGCACTTTATTTCTTCCCCCGATCCATATTTAACTAACAAATCAGTTGAGAATTAGAAGTGGAGAATTATGAAAATAAAAAATTAAAATTTGCCATGACATTTGTCAACTATTTATGTACGAGTATGAACGTTATTGAACGAATTATAGGTATGTTAATGTGTTGAAGCACCTAATTATTTGATATAGTTGATAAAAATATCATAGTTTATATAAATAGAAAATAAATACTTCCAAAATAAAATAGTAGTAATGTTTAAAAATACGCAAATAAGACAGGCAAATATTAATTTTAGATCGGATTCTTAAGAAAATCAGACATACTCCTAGTATGTAGCTCGCACCAATTATTAGTAATTTTTATTTAGTAGTAATATTTTTTTATAAACAAAAATTAAAAGAAAATGGTAATACGCCCTTCTTTAATATGAGATTACTGAGATTTCACTTGGAAGTTCTAAGAGAGATTTTTTCCAGTACACCGGTCAGAAAAATTTAAACTTTTTTATCTTATGAAAACAAATCAAAATTGCAATGCAAACAATAATAAATCAAGCAAAAATGTGACTGTTTCCTAGGTTTATGGTATAGAAGCTTACGACAAGAACAAAATCAAATGTTTAATGAAGAAGTTGGTTAAATTTTTTGAGCTTGCCAAAATGTTAAAATAATTTTGCATTATTTTGTTCATAAAACAGCGTAACATTTTGACTATAAAATTGTAAAATGTTTGCATTGTAATTTTTTAAAACTAGTCACAATTTCAATTAAAAAGTCCTAAATAGTTTTATATTGAATACATTGTATTTTCCCAAATTTTTGTAAATTTTTTTTTTAAATGTGAAAATTAATAATGTTTTTGAATAAGAATTTCTGTATCTAAAACTGTAACATTTGATGTCATTTACTGCTACTGTTTTCCAATAAGGTGTTATGTTGATATTCAAAAAAAAAAAACCCTTAAAATATCGAAGATGTGCACAGCAAAAATTTTTTAACAAAATTCTAAGCGAACGCGCAGACAACCATGTCTGCAGTGGGATATTGCGAACAAGAATTAAAAAAAAAATATTATAAGAAATTCACATTAACATTTTTTGAAGAATTAAAAAAAAAAAGACAAAACCCAAGCTTAAAATTTAAGCAACAAAAATCAGCAGCAAAAGTAATGATGTCAGTTTAGTTCACCCGATCTAAAATAGTAGCTGCTTCTCCACTAGAAAAGAGTCAGACGGAAACTGCGAAATGATACACCGAAGAGTGCTTAGCAGAAGTTTTCAAAAATTTATTGGAAAACAGAAAGAAAGAGGACTTGCGGCGCTACTTTTTACATCATGACAACGCGCCACCCACACTCCTGAAATAACGAGTAATTTAATTGTGATCTATGGGATCGAAGAAATACATCCCGCGGCATATTCCCCGGATATATCTCCTTGTGATTTCAGGTTATTTTCAAAAATTAAAAAAAAAAATGTACATGATAAAAATTAAAAAATTAAATTTGGTAAGCATGATTTTGAAGACTGTCAGAAGTGAATCTATAAACTTAAGAAATGCATTGAAATCAATCTTGATTATGTAGAGAAGTTAAAAAAGGGCAAAGGTTATGAATAAATACAAAAAGATTTTTTAATATTTTTTTTCTGGTCAACTTAAACAAAAAAACTTTTTTTGGTGATACAAAGCCTCGCCCACTGTAAATATGACGAAGTTGGATTGATGACCGTAACGTTTGTCGTAACCTTCTATTCTGTAAACCTTGGGACACATGACAAATCCACACATAGAAAAATCATATTGTTTAACTTACCATAAATATTTACGATTTTCGTGAGTATTTGACTTTTGGACTTTGGATGCGATTTCTCAACTCGAAATTTCCCGGAAAGAAATGCAAAAGAGAGTCCAGCAATGCAGTTTTATTCAAACCCCAAAGATTTATATAATATTTTATCAATTTCTTTATAATGGTTTTATGGTTTCCCTGAAAGTTCGGGACAACAGTCAAAAAACATTGCCAGGCAAGTTTTTCTTGGTCAATCAGTTTTGCTTCGAAGAGGTTCTTTTATATCAGCTGCTGTATTTGTGAATTTAATTACTCCGGCCTTTTTTTGGTCCTGAAATTGACGGTTCATAACTTGGATCCCTATCTTGAGATATAGTATCAGTATCGTACTGGATTAGGAGAAATTCCTCACTAAAATCTTGATTTTTTGAACGTTATGAAAGTTTTGGTACAGGCAGGTCGACACTGTATAGATTGGGTCTTCTGGACGAAGACAAGTTGGGATAGTAGAGAGCGCGTTTGGATTTGGTTGTAACAACTTTTGTTTGAGTCAAACCGGAATATAAGTTACACAGGATTTATATGGAACCCAAAATTTATATTTATTCCTTCCACAGAAACCTCTAAATACTTGAAATAGTCAATTAATTTTGTCAAGTTTTGACGGTGAAATTTAAAAATTAATTCTCCACACTCATAACACACACTTTTGAGGTTATGAAACGCCAGATTAGATGAATGATATTGGGCAGTGGTAGAGCACTCGCGTGTCAAGTCAGGATCCTGCCAGAAAAAATCTGATGAGGAGATGTGGTGATCTCCGAAACAGCTGACACTTTTACCATTTTTCTTTATTGTGTAACAAAAGTATTCACTTCATATAAAAAATAGAACTTTCGCTCACTAAAACCTTATAAAAAAATTAAATGTACAGGCTGGAAAGCCATTAAAAAAAAAATATGGATATACCGACATAATCAGAAGTTCCTGTGACCAAAACAGTGTTAACCATCAGCGACTAAGAAAAGTCCCATACACGAAAGGATTTTAGCAGAAAGCGACCAGTTGTATGGTTTTTCCACATCCTAAGTGATTTCTTATTTCACGATTTTTATAATTTTGTATAGTTGATAATAAACTCGCGTTTAGTTATACCCAGCAACCAAAATTGTTATTATTGTTGGCAAAAAAAAGCACAATAAATGGACATTATTTTAGGAAATATTGTTTCGCTTAAAGAATATATATATTTATATATACAAGCAAATATGTATACATAACCATTAAGTTGGGAGTTATATTTATCAATTATAATGCTTTTCCCCAGATTTTTCGGAAGTGAGTTATTTTTAAAACTATCGTAACTTATTTTGCATTTGGAAAATCCTTATAAATTCACGAAATATCAAATAAACATATTTAAATTAATTTTTATGAAACACCTAGCATATCTTATTTTATAACAAGAAATATTTTGAAAATGTGTATGAAATGAATGAAAACACTATACATATATGAAATTTATAAAGTACCGTTACACACAAACAGTTAACAAAAACCAAAACTACTCGAAATGAGAAAGAAAAATAACGAATTATGTATTAATTAAACTAAAATAAAATACTAAAATAAAATAAAAAAATAAGTTAGATTTGTCTAGATGTTGCGTTAATTTTCAATAAAGTATGATAAGCATTAGAATACATTTTTTTTTTTAATTTTTAAAACAAATATTTTTCCCAGTGAGGGAAAATATCAACTTTTTTGTCTGCAACATTCATTACCTAAATTTTTTATTTTTTGTTCATTGCAATTTTTTCAATCAAAATTAAAAAAAAAAATATTCTCTTGCCAAATCATTCAACGAAATAAATATTATTAAAAACTTAAACTAATTTATCTATGCATTAATTCGTGCGGTTTTCTAAGAGAGGGCTCTAATAGTATTATTTCGCGTCATGTTCATCTGTGACTATATCCATTTCAAAGGTACTGTCATTTCGCGTCGTTCTCAGTAGATGTCATTTGTTTTAGCGTGAACAACAATCTGTTTCATTCATTTGAAAATGTCGAAATTTGTACCAGATAAAGTGTTTTTGCGGGGAGTTCTTCTTCATTACTCTAACATGAGAAAAAGAGCTGCCGAAAGCCATCGTATTTTAATGGACGCTTACGGTAACCACGCTTTAGCCGAATGAACGCGCCAAAAGTGGTTTGCACGGTTTAAAAGTGGCAATTTCGACTTAGACGACGGAGAACGACCCGGACCGCCAAAAAAAGTTTCAAGACGAAGAATTGGAGACATTGCTCGACGCAGATGCATGCCAAGCGCAAGAAGAACCTGCAAAAGTATTAAGAGCATACCCAATAATTGAATTAAAATATGAAATTTTCTCTTTAGCTCAGTACCCATAGTGTATATGTAGTGCAAAGTCGTGAATGGGAGAATATTAGGTGGTGTAGATAGGAGTGATGCCTGAGTGATTTTAATCTCGCGCCCAATTAGCTCTAGATGCGCCATTTGGTCGGTTTATCAGAAGCCCTTCACATTCCTTCTACCACATTTTTTCTTTGTATTGAAATCATCTGGTGTTCTCAATAAAAATACATATCTATATATTATATATATTTATATTTAAATCGTTTAATGTACATTAAATTTGATGCACATAGATAACTCTTTGCCAATATTGATATGGGTATTACTTCTTCTTTCGGAGAGTGGTCCTGGGATATTTTATTTATCCTTTGATATTTACACAATTTTGTGTAGAGGTAGCGTTAAACCTAAACAAATATGGTACACAATTGTGAATATTGTTTTTTTTTTTTTTTTTGATGACGAACCCAACATTAACCACCATCCGCCCAACAGGCCGAGGGGCGCACGGTGACCGAACACCAGTAAAAATCCTGACCGATCGTGGAAGATAGCGGTTACATTTGCCTTTTATACTGAACAGCTCCATATTTGCTAATCGGAATGGGAGAGAGGAAATAGGATTTGATACAGTAATTCTAAAAAATCAATGCTGGCAGAAGAAGAAGAAGAGTATTAAAATCGTTTCACAAACCTCCAAAAGGGTCGTGCATTTCAAAGTTTGTTCTGGTTGCTCTTAGAGAAAAATGGAAACCGCTTCATTTTTCTAATCTAATATGACACTGTGGCAATAAGCCAGTTGTTTGTTCTTTCAAAGTTTATGTGCATATGACTGAAGCAGGGCCGTGCGCTAGAAAATTTTTTCCATAAATAGTATACGATGGATTTGCTTTCTGTTTAATTATTTTCATAATATTCTCGCAAACAGACTTACCCACCCATACATCATAAATTTAAATGTTCTCTAACTTGTCTAAAACTGCATACTCTGAAGCATAAAATTATGTCCTTGAGCAGTAAAAAATTCTGATACAGCAAATTTATTCGGCCATGCACATTTCTCTGTATTTGATTGAAGAATTGGGGATATGGTTGTATATTTTTAGCACTTTTATGAATACATGCGACTTTGGCTATAATTACTGTCCGTTTAACTTTGCGACTCTACGAAGTACGTAAAAGTATTCTCTCAATATTGAATTTATATCCGCTTTTACATTGCGAAGTATATTCAAAGACGCGAGTCCATTAAGAAGAAATTCGTTCCTTGTTGAACTCAAGTAAAATTTCAATTGTCGCACACGTCGAGAAAGCCCGTTTATTAATTGCTGTGGTAACAGGTAAAGCGGCCATGATACGTAGCACTTGGTGAACACTTGGAAAATTATCTATTTTACAAATTTCAAGAGCCTCTAACTGATTCTGCCTAACCGTAGATGCAATACGTTCCCTCCACAGCTGAACTTTATTAATACATGTTTCCCGGAGTATATATGTAGTGCAAAATGATCGCGTATGATTGAAGATTCTTAATGCTTTTTTCCAAATTTTGAAAGGTTTCAATACTAATTGATCCAATACTTGATTTCCGACTCCTCCTCCTTTTACAGAAAAAAGCGTGCAGCTTTTACAGAAGGCCCCATCATCTTTGGCTGAATAAGCTAAGCTGGTGTATTTCTGCAACAAAGTTCTTTAGAAATTCTAAATTTCGTGGTTCGGATGAAGGAAACTTGAAGGAGTCCGGATCTTATCTTGAAGCCCAACAATCGAGTCTATGCCATCAACAGTTGATTTATTGACAAAAGATCCAATGTCATATTTACGGGCACTGTTGAATTCGACGTAGAACGCAATTTAGCTTCACGACGACCGTCCAACTAAATTGATAAAATAAAAAAATAAATAGTTATCGGAAGCGCATAATCTAATTTTGCTTTTTGTGTGACATATTTCAAGGAGTTATATACCCAGTTTGGTTTTAAAAAATCTAACATTTTTATGTTCTTAGTGTCGAGAGCTATGCTTTAAAATTTCAAGCCAATCGGAAGACTACATCGCAATTTACAGCAGTGCAAAGTGTACTAGCTCCGCAAACAACTATGATTTCAGCAAAAGAGCCGGCCGAACTCAGAAATTTACTTAACGTTGGAAAATCTTCATGTATATAAAGGTTTTTTGACTTGCTGGTTTCGAATTTGGTGTTCAGATCTCCAAATTGGAAAAGGCGGATCTAAAATGGCGGACACTATTTGAGGCATGTCAATATTTCTACACTGTAAAAAAAGTTAAATTTACCGTTCTGGGTGGGTAACTTTGTGTTACCAAGTCTGAGATTGGGAAAAGGACAAGGTTAAGAGTCGACGCCCTGGGTAATTCTCAACCCAAAATCTCTCTGATATTAGTGATTCAGTCATTTTAAAGTGGCTGTAGATCTATCACTACAAGGCCAACAGGTCTATTATCATTCAATTTTTCTGTTTAAAGCAGATAAAGAATGAGATCAGGTGGTATAATTCAAGCACATTTCCTGATAAATCCGTTTGTAATTTACCAAAAAGTATTTCTGGATTTTTTCTCTTGGATTTTCTATGCAATAGAGAGCGCGATTATATGAATTTAAAACTAGCTTTCCTTAAAGTCATTATATAATTAAATTTGATACTTGCAATAATAGTTCAGCTAATGTTCTCAAACTTAGATTAGGTTATGATGACATATTACATCGTCCTACGTCAGGTCACACATTTGCACAGAGGTAAGCGCTATCGTTTAGTATAGTATAGACTTATACCGGCATTGTCGAGTCTTGACCTCTTACATAAGAAACGACGAATATCCATCTTTACGTGGACTTCAGTTACTTAGAAATTATATAACTTAACAAGAAATGCGATAATAAGCATGCCAGGAAAAAAAAAACGTTGAATGGAAGTGTAATCTATTCTGCACTGCGATGTGTTCAAATAAACGGTCAACACTTGCCCTGCACGATTGAATTTAACGAAATTTATAAATAAAATAATAAACGAATTAATTTGAAAACAGACCCATATTTTATTTAAATCACTAAATATTGTTGTATTTAACTCATAAGAAACGTGGATTGACCTTTCTTCAAGTAATCAAGAATCATTATTTCAATTTATATTCGAAAATGGGGAGTTTGAACCCGCAAAACTCCTCCCCCCGTGCACATGGTCCTGGACTGTAGCTATTATTTAATCAATTTGTATGCCTCAAATCGGTAAAAATATTTTTTGCGCAATTTTTTTATTGTAATACAGACAAAACAAGTGGTAAAATTATATGTTTGTATGTACATATATTTAAAACAAATTATTGATACATTTTATTTTATTCAAAAATCGTCGTTTTAATAATTATTAATTAAATCAATTAAATTAATTACGAAACGAGGCAGTCGTTTAATATTCGCTTATGTATTTTCAGTACATATTTATAGAACTTAGTACCTAAAATAATTAAAAGATATTATATAAAAAAAATTAAAGTATGACACGTTATTTATAAAAACAAAAAACAAATCAAAAAGCGCTATAAATTTAAAATAACAACAACTAAAGAAAATTAGTGAGCAAACTAAAATCGATTTTTCGTTTCCTTGAAGTTATAAACTAATGTAAAGTATTTTATTTTATTTTTTTGAGAGAGCAACAAAACTAGCCGAAGAGACCCGATGCCTTCTTCTTGAACGAACTCCACAAGCCAGTATTTTCAGGTTCAGCAGTCACTTCAATTTGCTAGTGTTAGAAACGGAAGAAATCCAAAAAAAAATAATTTTGTTAAGAAAATTAATTAAAAGACGAAGATTTAAAAAAAAATTTATGTATGTATATAAAGTTCGATCTTTCCCCAAGCCTTAACTTACCGCAGTAGGTTCTGTGCTTGACACCTGTTTCTGGGTGGCGCCATGATGGGCCCCAACAAAAGTGCCTTCCAAATCTTCAACCTGCACATCTTCCTGTTGCTGTTGTTGCTGACGATCCCAGTCTTGTTGTTTGTAATCGCCCAGTTCAACTTGTTGTTGTTGACCAAGGTCTTCGAATTGCTGCTGTTGTTGTTGACCAAAGTCATCTGCTTGTTGCTGTTGCTGTTGTTGCCACCGATGGCCATAGCCGCCTTGGCTCGTGTGACCATAACCGCGAGAGCCCGCAGTATAACTATGCGACGATGAGCCAGTTGATGAGGCAGTGGACGACGAAGAAGCAGAAGACGAGCCAGATGTATAACCCGAAGAGCCGCCACGTGCGTAACCACCTTGTACTTGTTGTTGACCATTCCAGCCTAGATCAACTTCTTGTTGTTGGCCGCCATCCTCCAACTTGCCGTTCCAACCCACCTCCACTTGTTGCTGTTGGCCGTAGTCATTTGCTACCTGTTGTTGTTGTGTATTAAAATCACGTTCACGGCCATAACGTGCACGTCCAGAATTTGCTGTTACCGCACTGCTGCTAGCATCATTAACACTATCCGCCGCCGGCACCGTAAATTTATATTCCTGTTTTCTATAACGGTAACCACTAGTACGTTCACCTGCGGGACCACTGGGTGGTAAAAAGGAAACTGCCGGCCTTGAGTATGCTGGATATTGTGTGGTCGGCTCAACTTTCATGGCTGCCGCTGGTGGTGGGTACAAATTATTATCTTGACCAGCCAGGCCGGGCTCCTCGGCATCGGCGTTTTCATCGTACACATGGGGCGGCTGATCACCACGATCCTTTGAGATCACTTGATGTGGCCAAGCAGTGCGATTGGTTGAGCCAGCGCCAATCTCGTACCCACCGAATCCAGTGCTAGAGTCCATTGGTAGCAAGCCTTGAGCCAATAGATAGAGAATACGACGCCATTCGAGCAACTCTTCATTCTTTAAACCCGACTTGCGCTCTAAGTCAGCCATACGTCTGGCCTCCTCGGCACCCCACTTTATACGCTCGGCTTCATTGGTCGTTTTCTTATGCATGACAAAATCAATGTAACGAAGTTCCTTCTCGCGGAAGCTTTGCAGTTGATTCAATTGCCAGCCGTAGTGTTCCGCCAGGCGTAGAAAACGTTCAAACTCTTTGATTTGCCAGTCCTTCAGTGCTTGTGTAGTGATGCCATAGCTAGCTGCCAACTCATTGAGTACAATGTCTTGACGCTGCCAATTGCGTAGGTTCTTTAAGCTAAAGTTCTGATTTCGAATCAAATTATAAAGACGATCGCGTTCACGTTTCTGCCATTTCTCCAGCGTCAGCAGTTTAATGTTATCCAGTAGACCTTCACGTTGCATGTGGTCGATTTCGATGCGCTGGAAGGGCGCAAGCTGTTCGAGTGTGGTACCGTAAAGTTGAGCCAAACGATTTTGGTAGTCATTGTCAGCTGCTATGTATTCAAGGAACTCAATCTGAGTAATGCTAATTTCAGCAGCAATGGCTCTTAAACGTTCACGCTCTTGTCTCTGCCAGTTATTGTAGTCAAACGACTGATGCCGATCCCGTACAAGACCCAAGTCGCTTAGACGTCTCAACTCATTGCTAATCCAGGACTCAAGTTCTTCAATACTGACATGATACTCGTCAGCCAAATTGTTCAGCGTAGTACGATCATGCAAAATTTGATCCTCCCATACTTCGACTGTCACGCCAGGTTGACGTGTGACAATCCGATAGAGCCGCTCCTTTTCACGACGTTGCCAGTCAACTAAATGCTCGGATATGATCTTGTTCTGATCAAGTAGACGTTGTAGCTGCTGCTTATACCACGCTTCCACTTCCTCGACGGTTAGATGATATTGTAGAGCGAGTTTGCGTAAATGCTCTTGATCTTCCTTCAACTGACGTTCAAGCTCTTCAATCGACCAACGTTGCTGCTTACGAAGCCGTTCGTTAATTAGATTTTGAATGCGTTGATTTTCAAATATCTCCCATTCCTCAATAGTCACGGATCCGGTTATCAGACCCTCTTGATTGAGCTTTTGAGCTTCGCCGCGTAAATACTGCTCGATCTCTTCAACACTCACATTGTATTGTCGTGCAAATTGCTCCCAACGCATGCGTTCGTTAGCTAAATATGCCTCGAATTCTTGCCAAGTCATGCCCTGTGTTTGGGCGATCGCCTTAAGATGCGCTAAAGTATAGATTTTCCAACCGTCATCGTTGATATTATGTTCTTCATAGACTGTGTAGCTCTGTGGGCGTTGAATAAGTCCGAGAATTTGCAGACGTGCACCCTCCTGCTGTACCCATGACTCTACTTCCTCGACGGTGACATGATAATCTTGTGCAATACGTTCCAAACGCGCCTTATCGCGGCGCAGAAACTCATTGAACTCTTCGTAGGTCGTGGCATTATTTTGCTGATTCAACCAATCTTGTAATCGATCGCGTTCCGTCTTCTGCCACTGAGTTAGCTGTTCGACCTGCAGTAGACCAGAGTTCTTCAAGCGCTGCAGTTCATCTCGCATCCACATCTCAATTTGCTCCACACTCACGCTATACTCGCGTGCCAGCTGTTGCAGATGCTCACGATCTCGACGTAACTGAGCTTCGAACTCGTCATAGCTGACAGTATTCTGTTGCTGCAGCAGCATTTCAATCAAACGTTCCTGCTCGTCAGTCTGCCACTGTGTAAGGTTCTCGACCTGTATTTGTCCAGTTGTCTTCAGATTTACAAGTTGTTGGCGTAACCACACCTCGACTTCTTCAACACTAATCGAATATTGCTTCGCAAGCTCCTGCAAGCGTTGGCGCTCCTTGTTGAGTTCAACTTCGAATTCCACATAACTCAAACGATTATTCTGACGAATGAGCTCCTTCAAACGTTGAGCCTCAGCAACTTGCCACTCGGCCAGCTTTTGCACGTGATCGGCTGAGTCTTTTCTCAAGCGTTTCAGCTCCTCAATCATCCACTTCTCGATTTGGGCGATGTTAATGCGATACTGGTCGGAGAGCTGACGTAAATGCGCACGATCTGCGAGCAGTTTTTGTTCATAATCAGCAGTTGAAAGTTCATTTTTGTATTGGCCAATCAGTTGCTTGATGTAGTCACGCTCAACTATCTGCCAAGTCTGCAGATTCTCCACCTCAAATTTACCCTTATTGCGCAGATCGTCAATAACCTTCTTCACATAAGCCTCGATCTCAACTACGCTAACATGATACTGATTAGCCAGATTGATGAGGAAGCGTTTGTCCTTTTGCACTTTCTGCTCAAACTCTTCCACCGTGATGGAGGATTGTTGTTGTAGCAAGCTCAAAATTCGCGCATTTTCCGTCTTCTGCCATTCAGTGAGTTTCTCTATATCCAGTTTCCCCTGCTGCTGTAGTCGTGCCACCTCAGATTGTATCCACTTCTCGATCTCCTCTACCGAGGTGTGATACTGGAAAGCCATTTTCTGCATGTGCTCGCGATCCTCGCGCAACACACTCTCGAATTCTTCCACACTCCATACCTTGTTTTGTTTAATAAGCTCTTCGAGTCGTTCTCGCTCGGCTATTTGCCAAGCGGTGAGGTTGTCGATTTGTAGTTGGCCGTCATCACGAAGACGTGCCAGCTCCTTTTTCATCCACTGCTCGATTTCCTCGACTTGTATGCTATAATCACGAGCCAATTTCTCGAGCAGTTCGCGATCTTGACGTAAACGTTGCTCTAACTGTTCCGTGGAGTGGTATTGTTCCTGGGTAATGCGTTCGAGGTAACGTCGCTCGACTTCTTGCCAGTTGGTAAGCTTCTCATTGGGTTTCAACAAACCCATGCTGATGAAACGTTGCTCTTCGTTGCGCACCCATTGTTCGATCTCTTCGATATGTACATTGTGTTGCATAGCAAGATCTTGCAAGCGCTTGCGGTCCTCCAACAACCATTTGTGGAACTCCTCGACTGTGAAGTCACGCTCTTTCACCATGTTGGTGAGGTTACCGCGCCATAGGGACTGCCAATCTTTGAGTTTCTCCATCTCGATTAAACCTTCTTGCTGTAGTTTGTGTATCTCGTTCTTTATCCATTCCTCGACCTCTTCAACACGCACTTGGTTCTGATGTGCCAGAGCGTAAACATGTTGACGATCTTTTTTGATATTCTCTTGAAGTTCATCGATGGATAGATTATTCTTATTAACCAATTCCAGGAGACGCTGACGTTCGTTCTTTTGCCAGTTACTCAGCTGCTCTTGTATCTGTAGTAAGCCTAAACTTTGTAAACGCTCTCCTTCCTTCTTGATCCAGCCTTCAATCTCGGACGTTTGCACATTATAGTTTTGAGAAAGCTCTTGCAGACGTCGTCTATCGGCAAGCAACTTCTTCTCAAATTCTTCAATGGTCAGTTTGTTCTCTTGCACAATTTTCAGTATGACTTCGCGTTCCTGTTTCTGCCAGTCCTTCAAATCTTCTACCTTAACCAAACCCTCACCTTGTAGTCGCAACAATTCCTTCTTTAGCCAATCCTCTATCTCTTCTACGCGTACCTGGTACATGTTGGCCATGCTATATAAGTGAGCTTGGTCTTCCTTGATTTTCTTCTCCAACTCTTCAACAGTCAGTTCATTCTGCCGCACAATAGAGTTCAAACGCTCGCGCTCCTTCTGCTGCCAAGCTTCCAACTCCTTCTCAACTTCCTTTAATAAACCTTGTGACTGGAAGTTCTTGATTTCATTTCTAATCCAATCCTCCACCTCGGAGACTTGAATCTTATATGTTTTCGCCAGATCTTCAAGACGCGAACGATCACTCATGATCTTCGCTTGGAATTCCTCAATCGTCAAATCGTTCGTATTCACTATGACCTTAAGGCGTTCACGTTCACGTTGCTGCCATTCTTTGATATCCATTTCGAGTTTCGTCTGACTTTGGCTGTGTAAGCGTTCCAATTCCGCACTCTGCCATTTTTCAAGCTCTTCTAGACTTACATGGTATTTCGCAGCCAGTGCTTGTATTTGATTACGATCTCGTGCCATTTGTGCTTCGAGCTCTTCGACTGAACCGCGGTGCTGTTTAACAACATTCTCGAGACGCTCGCGCTCCGAGCGTTGCCACTCCGTGACGCGTGTCACCTCGCTGCGGCTTTCGTTGATTATACCGTTTAAACGTGCCAATTCATCCTTCAACCATTTTTGCATATCCTGCACGTTGCCACGATATTTTTGACCCAAATCGGAGAGCTTTTGTTGGTCCAAGCGTATAGAGTTCTGCAAGTGTGCAATTGTTGCATTATGTTGGCGTATCAACTCTTCCAAACGCTCTTGTTCATTGCTACGCAGAGAGCCAGAATTGATGGGTCTTGAAATCATTGAGTTGTTTTGATCATTAAAGTAAGCATAAAGCCGATTTAATTCTTCAATTTGCCAATTCTTCAACTCCTGCAACGAGATATTATACTGGCGGGCTAATTGGACTAGTTTGTCATTATTCTCCCGCTGCCAACGTTCGAGCTCGTCACGCGTCACGCTATTCTGGTGTATCAACCAGTCTAAACGACCAGCTTCCGTACGTTTCCAGCCAGTTAGATTGGGGTTTTGAGCCTGATATTGGCCCAGCAACACACGATAACGGTCCAATTCACTACGGTGCCATGCCTGTATATCTTCAGTTGTTGTTTGATAACGTTCAGCCATAGCCAGTAGACGTTCCTCCTGCTGCCGCTGCCACTCCTCCAGACGCTGTGGCGTAATATTACCTTGGGTTAAGAACCAGAAAAAACGTTCACGCTCTTCCTGCTTCCAAGCTTCGCCACGTGGTACAGACCATTCACCGAACGGACGCTGCGAGTCATAAACAAGCTTACCATCAACCCACTTGCGATTCAGCTCGGAGCCACTAACTGTGTTAGTGCCATCTGGATTGGTGATGATTGTTTTGTTGTAACGGCGTACAGTCACTGTTGAACCGGGTGATAAATTCGGACGGTACAAATGATTTCCAACGCCAAAAGTTTCCACATCTGCATTCGAGCTTCCAGTTATTGGTATACGTGAGGCTGGTTGGTACGAATCCGAGCCGGCAACGTTTACTACCGAATTATAACCCATGACAGTAGGTTCCATGTGTTGATTAGCCCAGTCGTAAATCTTATGTCTGACGGTCGTGGTAGTGCTGCTGCTACCACTTGGTTGGCCATAAACTGGGCTAGGATAACTGCTTGCGCCACCGGAAACCAAAGAGCCACTGCTATAACCGCCATTACTGCTATAACCATAGGTGGGCATACCGCCACTTGAGGTAATTGTGGTGCGATTACGACTGCGTACTGTGACCATGGGGCTGCTAAATGAGCCATCACCACTAACTTTGGTGGCCTCCGTGCAGTTCTTATGCACTACATAGGTTTTTCCGTCGATCACCTTGACTTCGGCTGGATACGCATAGTTGCGCACCTCATCGAAATTCGACAGATCGACTGGTTGAAAATGTCCAATTTCAATTTGTTGCTGTTGTTGTTGCTGATCAAAATCATCGCTGTCCACTACCACAGACTCCAGTGTTTCGGCGGCTTTCGATTCGAAAAAGTTCGGCGCCACAATAGTGGTGTAGGGCAAGAGCCCCTTACGCATATCCGTCACCAATTGTTCGCTCACACGACGCACTAGGGCATCTAACTCGGTGGACGTTTTGCCCGTCAAGTTGATTATGCTTGCTGGAAGTGAGGAGCAGGTGAAAATCATATTAATTTACATTATTCATACAAGTTCAATATTAATAATTCTATGACTTACCATCCCACTGTGCGCCTGATGTTCGATGGCCAGTGCTGCTTCCCTGTGACATGTAGTTATACTCCAGTCTCAGATGACTGGCAAACTGACGCACCTCATTGTAATGTGCGTAAGCCCAGGAACTTAATTGACAACAAGAGGCACTACCGCTTGAGGACGTGGACGACGATGAGGACGATGTGTAGCGTGAAGAGGTTGAGTAGCCCGTTGTACTACCGACACTGTAGGCCTGAGTACGTAATTGTACTGCGCAGAGTAGCGCCAATGCAAGGCACAGAGCCTTCATTTTTCGTTGTTAAAATTTTACAACTTGCGGGAGAGTCTGGAAGAAAAAAAAATGGTTAAAGTAGAAAGATTAAAGAAATAAAACGATCTTTAGTAGAGCTCACTGACAATAACCTTAAGAATACTTCAATATTTTTTGGTAAGATTAGTGTGCTAGATGCAATAAACCTAAGTTGTAAATTGAATTCTCATGTTTTTTAAGATTGCAACCCAAGCTCTCATAATTTGTTAAATTCTTACATTTGAAAATATGGCAGCATTACTTGATAGTTTTGTGGATTTATGTTTTTCTGAACAAAACCTGGATTTCGCTACCATATCATACGTGTTGGCAAGCCTGCCCAAGCAAAACTTACTGACGTAATTTTCTAGAATACAACCGTTTGAAATCTACAAAGTAAACAATAAAATTCAAGCCTTATCCTCAAGCGTCAACTATACAATACCATACAATGTGATTATTGTTACATATAAGTAGTTGATAATAAACTAAACTAATCACGTAATCTACATAGGTACATATTTTCCCCCCACCAAAACGTGCGCTAATTAAAAATAAATAACTAAAATAAATATAAAAACATATTGAATTCAATTGATAATATTTCAACACCGTCTTATGAATCAATTTGAATTTAGTACAAATCATATAAAATTACAATATTCTAGTACTTTAATATACAAAAACACAGAATTTTATGTATTGAATTTTATTTTGTACTTTATTTTTACATATTCTCTCTCCCTCAGCCTTGATACGCATTTAAAATAAACCAAATGGCGATAATTTATTGTAGATGCGCTTTCAGAAAAGTTCAATATTACGACCTTTGAGGCTTTAGTCGCCTAGGTATTTACGAGTTTATATACAAATGTATGTTATATACGTGTATGTACATAGCTCATTAAAAAACATTGTGTACATTTTCTATATTATATGTTCAATATTCTTATATACCACTCAAAATTTTATTATTTACCTTCTCGTTTTATTTTTCGCCATAATAAAATCTGCTTTTAAATTGAAAAATTAAATTAAAAATATTCTCCAATAAAGCAAGAAAAATTTAATTGAGACTCGCATCCGGTCAGAAACAAACAGCTTTTGTCCCAAATAATATAGCTGATAAGACGAACTGACACAGCTTATATAAATAAATATATTTAAAGTTGAGCTTTTGGTAATAATTCCAAGAAAGAAAACTTCGCAGAGTTTAGTTAAGAGAATTATAAATAAGGCTTATTCTGAAGGGATCTCTAATAAGAGTTGTTATTTTGAATAGCCTGCTATTCCGGTGGATGTCCCTCTTGAAGTTGTAATTGTTTGACTTTTCACAAGTAAATACATGCTTTAAAAACGAAATGATATTTTTAAAACTCCCTATAAGATTGGTGAAAACCTGACAGCGATGGTTCGGAAAATTAAAATATTATCAGTCGTTATGAATCATCTTTGGAAACAAACAAATTTTTCCATTTCCTTTCGCACTTCTGAAGAACATGGGTACTAAGGCTTATGTTTCCCAGTTAACACAATAACTCAAAATCATCTACAACATCCTCTTTGCTGATTAGATTAGATAGAAAAATCACCTTGACTGATGAGAATCAATTCCACTTCAATGGCTACGTCAATAAGCAATCGCATCTTGTGCTCGGAAAACCCAAGATTTATTGTGGAAATGCCTCTACATAACCAACGTGTACCTGTTTGCTGCGGTTTAATTTCAATAATGATTATTTATCACATATATTTAACACTCAAAAAATGTTTAAAAATTTATAAAAATAATAAAAATTTGGTGAATGGTTTGTGCTATCGGAATTGGATGGTATTGATCTGGACAACGTTTACTTTCACAAGACGGCGCTAAGTGCCACACAAGTAAAGAAACCATTGATTTTTTAAGCGAAAAGTTTCGAAAAGGTGATTGTAAAAGGCAACCGAGATCTTGTGAGTAAACACCTTGAGACTTCCTTCGCTGGGAACACATGAAAGATGTGGTCAACCCCAACAGGCCAACGACGATTTAATACTTCGAGGATGCAGATCGTGGAATTTATTGAAGGCATACAGCAGCCACTTGGCGTTTTGGTGATGGAAAATTATACAAAAAGAATTCATCAATTTCATCTCTGTAGCCGTGGCGGCCTCTTGGCTGATATTATTTTCCATTATTATTGGCATATCTTCCCCTTTAGATTAAAACAATCATCTCACCGTCTCAAGAAATTTCATTTCATATCAAACACTTCTGTTATAATAATAATTTTTATCCTACATATAATTGAATGCAGTCCCGTAATTTGATTACAAATTATTTAATAACTTACATTATAGACCAAAGATTAAATTAAATAATAATAATTTTTTAATCAATCATAAAATTCGAGATATATTTACCCATAAATATAGTGAATTAAATCAGTTTATAATAATTAAATTATAAATAAATATAAAAAATATTTAATTCGTTATCAAAATTAAAAACACTTAAATAAAATCAATAATTATGAAAAATTAAAAAAAAAACTAAAAACAAGTAATGGTTAAATAACCTGAAACCAAGCGGTAGCATAGTAAGTTTAAGATGGACAATAATATTTAATAATAGCCCAAATGAAATAGTAAAAAAAAATAAAAAGGAGATTAGAATTTGTCTACCGATAAATAAAATTACCGTATTTTTTAGTACGCATCCTTAAAACTACTGCGATTAAAATGTATCCAACTTCAACTTAATTTATCTTCATGACACTGTCATTCAGCTTAATTTCACACACATAAATTTACCTAACCAAGGCGCACATGCTTACAGTCATTGCATTTTAAACTAATTGCAACGCTAATTATTTAATTTATAACAATACCAAAATCTGCCAGCGTAAGCAAGTTTAACTTTCAAAAAGAAAAAAATTTAATTTAAATCCATTTCAAAAAAAAAATGTTAAAAATCCGAATGAAATAAATTCAACTCACTATGCCATCCAATTTTGTGTTCATAAATTCCTTATTTCTAAACGAATATTGGGTCAACTTGTGTACTAAAAATAGTTACGTACAAACAAGGGATTATAGAAAAAAGAATTTTTCCAAATTAAAATTGAATTACAAGAAAAAACTTGCAAGCACCTCTACATGCACGCTCGAAAGCAATGCAGTGCACTTATTTATAAGTGCATATATGTATGTTCAAATGCAGCTAGCATTCATCGCTGTCAATATATCCGTCTGGTGTGGCACACGCCAACGCGGCGCGTCGCCTGTCACGCACCGAACGCCAAATTTTTTCTCAATTTTTTGTTTTGTTTTGAACTTTATGCGTTCTGCTTCTCTGCTTTAATTATTTTACATACAAATATACGGTAAAAGTCTATTTATAAAATCTTACATACAAATTTATTCATATTTTTCATTTGGCCTGTCACAGTTTTCACTTCTCTATAGATTTATGCCACATCAATAGCATGTTCATATGTATGTGCATATATATGTATATGAATAAACTTTTATTACTTTTTTTATAAACTGATGTTTTCATACTCTTGTCACTCGACTGATGATTCAAGTGCGTGGCGACCCCCATGATAAACATATGCATACACACACACATAAAATATCCATTTCGGATGATGTTTTCCAATTTATCATCACAACTGTCATTTGGGGAACAGTGGGGGAGGAGGCATGAGATGTTCTCACCATCGCTCAAATGGCAATGAAATTTGGTAAAACACTAAGAACACACACACACACTTGCATACAGCGCAACATAGTATTTGTTGTAAAAAGATGAAAAATCTGTCAGTATATTTTTGTTAGATTTTCTCGGGAAATTCGTCATTGACTTTAAGACTCATCACATATTATTGTTGCTTTAAGGCTTTTACTGTCGTGTAAAGTGTCTCTAAGTGAATTTGGCTATTATTTTCTGTAGCTATTAAAGGGTTGACTTTTTATTTCTCTTTTTATTTTTGGTTTTATTTTTTTCGGTTATTACGAAAGATGTAATTTGGTTGTTGTCAAATCATCGACAACAAAGTGTGTCATTCAAGTGATGCTATTAAGTCGTGCTGTCAACAAGAATAAAATATGTAAAATATTAAAATTCGTACATTTATGTTACTCATACGCATACACGCACGATCACAAATTTCCATTTGTCAGAGATCACAGAATATCAATTCATAGAACAAATTAAGTAGTTTAATATTAAAAGCAAAAAGGGAAAGTTAGAAATAAGGTTGTTTTTGTTTTATTTTACTTTTGAGCGCCTTATGGATATTTGTCTGTGTACATACATAGTAATTAGATAAATAATTTTTAGTTTTATATGTTTTTGCTATATTTTTATGCAGCAAATTCATTAAAAAAAAAAACTCTTACAAACAATCCAGGCCTTCAACTCACTCAAAACTTATAACTAAAAAATTATTAATTATTAGTTTTAATTTAAAATGAAAAGGTCATAAAAATTAAAATAAAAATGTTTCAAATAATTGTCATATATATATATATATATATATATATATATATATATATTATATTATTGAAATATGGTCTCCTGACTATTTTATATGGCGTTAAACTCCTTTCCCTCCAACAGAGGGTCTTGTTTTGATATTTAAATAGGCTTTTTTTTTAATAATTGATCGGATGTTTACTTCAATGTAAAGAGGAAGATTTACCATTAATAATGGCAAATAATATCAGCCAAATGGCCGCCATGGTTATAAAGACGTATCCTTTTTATTAAATTTTCCATCACCAAATTGTACAAAGTGTCTGCTGTACACCCTGAATAGCTCCACGAACTCCATCTTTGAGGTCTTGAACCGACGCTGACCTGTTGACGTAGACCTCTGCTTCTACGTGGCCCCAAATGAAGAAGTCGAAAGGTGATAAATCATAAGATCTCGGTGACTAAATACGATCACCTCTTCGAGAGATAACACAGTCTAGAAAATTTCCCTTAACAGATGGATTGTTTCGTTGCTGGTATTGTTGAAAGTTATCGTTTTACAGATTAGTATCATTCCATACCGGCCATAGAACATGATTAATCATCTCTCGATAGCGAAATCGTTTCACCGTAACTGTTGCTTCACTCTCATTTTCAAAAAAGTAGATCAGACAGTTTGGCTTATTGACGTAGCCATCGATGTGGAAATAGCCCACATTAGCCAAGATGATTTCTCGATTGAATATCCGGATTATTTCATGAATTTCAAGGACCCAATCAGCAAAGACACATCATTGTTGTTAATCAGCCAGCATGAGCTCTTAGGCCTTACCGAACTAACATATTTTAAGTTTACAAACCGTTTCGGCCAGGTTTTCACCAATTTTTAGAATGAGTTTCAATTATTTTAACTCATTTTTATTACTGGCGTAATTTTTATTTGCTAAAAGTCAAAAACCTACAACCTCTTCAGTGGCATCTACCGAAACAGAAGGATTGGAAAGCCCTTTAGTATTATCTTTTTATTTATCTAAAGTTTGTTGTTATCTTTCCTTAACTTAATTTGTACCGATTTTGGACATTTAAAAAATTGCCTAGTAATTCACACGAGCAGGATTGACTAAAATGCTGGTAAAAATCAATGATTCTCACAACAGTTGGGTCTTTATAACGAAAAGGTTCAGATTTTTAATCAAACAATATATGATTTCTGTGCCCTTAAGTTCTTACTGCTTTTAAATTTTTTACATATTGATTATGCATGTATGTATAATATATGTACATCCCATCTCTATATATACTTGTACTAACTATTTTAATAAACATTTATAATATGTGTTGAAATGGTTACAAAAATGGCTTCGAATAACTTTTTTGCTTTTTCCGAATCAACTTTGAGGAAATTTTTGGGTTTTGAAGAAGCGAATCAGGACTGACCTTATCGAAAGTATTCATATCTGTTGCCAAGTCATATATAATTCAAACTTATTTGAAAAAATTTTCATTTTACTATACCATTTCATATTTATTTACATATTATTTCCCTGCAATTTTTTTTTATATTTTTTTAACAATTTACAAAGAACAATGCACATAAAAAATATCTGCGATATAATCGAGCTTATGAAATTCATTAAAACTTATTTAAATTTTTAAAATTTTAAGATGTTTTTTCTTAACTTTTTTAAACAAAATGTCCATAAAAACTGATATTTTAAACACCAAAAATCATGAAAATAATTCTCATTAATTTTATTAGGTTTTTAAATTTATTAAAATAATAATAAAACCAATTTTTTGCCTTTATTAGACATTTTTATTTTTAATAATTGTTTTTGATAAAGAGTTTGAAAAATTTTAAATTCAATAGGTTAAAAAGTAAGAAAAAATGAAAAATATTTACCACTTTCAATATCTGCTCTATTTAAATTCCACTATCTTCCATTACAACTTCTTAAAAAATAATAATTTTCAATTTTGTTTTCACTATTTTCGCTTTAAGTTTAATTAAAAACAAGGAAAAGTCGCAAGAATGCAATATTCACACTCGATCCTTACTACAAGGACCTTTTAATGTACACCAACGCGCACGCGCAAAAAATCTCTACTACACAGTGTTCAATTCAAATGCCGATACACTAACACAAAGACACACCAGCAGAGTGCTTTCCACAGCGTACACAAATTTCGAAAACTTTACCGATTAGAACGCGACGACCGCAAGTGTCGAACTGATTTCAAAATCTCAGTGGTAACGAAACTTAAATGAAAATGATCAACGCAAATTGTGTGTGCGTGTGTCTCTGTGTGACAGTGTGTGTTTTTAGCTGATCGTTTGATCGTTGAGCTGAGAACTTAACGAAATCAAAAGCGATTCTTGTTATAAGCAACTAAAAAAAAATAGAGAATAACAACAACAGCATACAATTAAAAATAAAAATAAAATAGAAATAAAAATAAAAACAAAAATAAAAATAAAAATAAAACTATGAAAAAAAAAAACAAGAGCGAAACAAATTAGAGTAAAAAATATCAGCCGGCATCGTCGCCGGCGCATTGATGACGTAGCGTACACACGTACATATGTATGTGTGCAGCAATGAAATGCACGAGACAAGTCGTCAGACGAGCCGTATGATTTTATCATCGGTTAGAGGTTATTAAGTCATCAGTGGCAACAAGTTTGTTAGACTATTTTGCATTTACTACAATATTTGTGTGAGTATATCGTACATACTCGTAAATATATATTTGAAATTTTCGGTGTTTTCAAATACAATTTCGATTATTTTTTTATTGATTTTAAGATTCGCAACTTTTTATATATAATATTTTGAAACGTTCTAGTTATTACAATTTACTTTCAATTGTTTCAATTCTCATTTTATAAGCTTATCAGTGGAGCTTATCGCGTATTCAAAATTGATTTCGAGTCAAATAAAACGGAATATGTGTACGAGAAATACAAATATGTATAAGTTAAAAATAAAGCATGGGTTTTTCCTCAGGGAAATATTCAATTGTAAATTTTTTACGTCGACGAAATTGATTTATTTTTGTTTATTATTATAGAGGTTTAAAATGTTTTATTTTATTTTTATTTTTTCTAAAATCTAAAATTCTAAAATAAAAATATCTAAAATTTAAAAAATTATTATTTAAACATCTTAATGTTTTGGTATTTTTTGGGAGTTTCTATTTTTATTCAAAAAATAAAACGAGAAATAAGAAAATTATATATGTATTTTGTTTACATTTACTTGTCAAATAAATATTTGGAAATTAAATTTAAAAACAAAACACTGTGAAATAATTATATTTATTTAATATCACTTATCATTATTTTTTTGCTTTAATTTTTATCAAATATTAAATGACTAAAAATGAACTAAGAAAATAAATCAAAAATATTCAATGATGTTTTTGTTTTTTTTAATAATTCTCATAATAAAATATTTATTGCTTAATATTATTATTTTGATTGCAAAGTTCTGAATTTTATTGCAAAATAATTAGTCAGAGACGAAATTTTCGTAAAGTTAATAACTATTAGATTATATTAGATATATAATTATATGCGTATACAAAACACTTGCAAATTCTGTCTTGACTTCCGTTCTGTGATAAATCAATTTTTGTGAATCATTTTTCGCAAGTTGTATTTGAATTTAAAATATTTACTTTAAACCGGTATTTCTTTTGTTGATATTTATCACATTTGCATAAATGTACATACATACATGCTGAACGTTTTAAATAAATTAAAAGCTTATTTTTATTTGTTTATGAATTTTTTTTTTTTATTTTTTGTTTTCTAGTGAATTTACGTAATAAATTGTGGTTAAAATCGAAATTATTATTTTCTGTTTAATTCTTTTAGTAGTTCTTCTGGAGTAGTTCCATAATATGAAAAATACTTTTCATATTATTTACGGCATTTCCGAATTTTTTACTAACAGGCCTATTCTCACTATTAGTGGTAAAGTAAATTTTGTTACTTTTCTTTAACACACGAAATTGAATTTGGTATTCTGGCAAACTGGGTACAATGTTTGAAAAAAATTTGGCAGCACTGCTTTTTTCAACCATGTCAAATTACATTTGCCAGTTGATAAAGTAAAAAGAAAAATATTCACATCGAAATGGAAGGCGGTATACAAAAAAATTAAAAAGATTTATTAATTTGTTTATTAAATCACAAATATTTGAACCTAATTATGTAAAATATGCCTGGATAACAAAAAGAGCTGAATGAAAGCGTTATCTCACAAATTAAAGGGCTATTTTTTAGTATCGAAAACTTCTTAAAATGTGGCTTTTTGCACTTTTTTCTTAATCTTCAATGAATTCCAGGCCTAAAATATGCCTACCCATTTTGGTTTTTTATTGTTTCTCAAACTTACAACACAAAATCAAGCAGCAGATATTTTTGTTACCTCCTATTTCGCTGGTCACAAAATTTACTGACAGTGAACTCAGAATACGAAATGGTAACAAAATTTACTGAATGGTAAATTTTAATACCTAGGTAAATTTTGTTACCTCTACAGAATAGGCCTATAGGCGCAAATAAGTATATTGTTGTTTATACCGGATTTAGTGAATTGAAAACAATAAATTTTAAAAATAAGATATATCATACATTTACTCTTCATTTGAATTATTTCTTGCTTAATTTTTATGTACTATATATATGTATATACGTATTTGTCACTTTTTTTTAAATTCCCAAGCTCATTAATGTTTGGCGCTTTGTTGTTTCCCATTTTGTATGTTATGTATTTATTTTAATTTTGTTATTAATATAATGAGTCTGCGCATTCAATTTTTTTATTTACGACTAAAACTGCGTTGGTTCCATGCCTGTCACATTTGTCAAGCCAAATCGAGTTAATTAATAGAATGTTTGGGCAAATTAATGAGGTGAAGACATAGCGTAACAATCGGCGGTCTACCGTTTATGGCGCAAGGAACCGAGGGGTTAAATGTGTACACATAAATAATAACAAATGTGAGATGTGAGCCGAGCAGTCAACTGTGGAGGTTCACTAAACAATGTCCATATTTTTTTCTAAACATTTGTTAACATCAAAGAAATTCGCCAAAAAGAGGAAACACAAACCGCAAAGAAATGGAATAAATTTAAAAAAACTTGCACATTCATTTATTAATTCGCGGAGTTGCACCCGGACATGTGTTTTTCCGTTACCGCACATTTTTATCTAGTATTCTTCTAATATTTTTTATATCTTATTTCTTAAAGAAGAAGTAATTGAATTGTATGAAAATAAAATCAAACATATCTTTATATAGCAATTTGTATGCAAGAAATGTACTGTACATACAGTAAATATTTATATTTCATTTGGCTTTTAGCTGCGTTTTACAGAAACTCTTATTATTGAAACGTATGTAGATACATAGAATATATATCTATATTTAAATAAATGTAATCCAAACGCTTACAGCAATTACTCATGCTGATTCACCCGCTATTCTAAGCGAAATGTCATAGAAATTACTTTAATATTAATGCATGGCTTTTATTAGTGTGTTTATGTATATTTGCACGTATACATTTAAGCGCCGCAGTATGTGCATAAGTATGTAATTTGCACAAACAAATAAACAAGCAATCAGTGCTACACCTACTTGCAAAATTTTATTGTGAGCAATTGCAAATTTCACACATACATATTTAATATATACAAGTAGGCATACATGCATATATGTTTGTATTGTTAGAGTGAAGTAAAGATCATTACCAAACGGAACTGCCTTCGAAATTAAGCACATTTCCACTCTCCGTGTGGGTGTACAAATTGACACTAATGCTTTTTACAATGCATCTTATGCTTTTGTGCATTAAATCGCAGCTAATTCGTTCACCAGATAAGTGTATTTAAAAAAAAAATGTTAATACGCACAAACATATTAATGCGATCCAAAAAGCAATTGTTGGAATTCAAATTAGACGCGCATTGCAAAAAATTAAGAGCAAGTAAGTTACTTATACGCAATGTACTACCAATAACTAAAATACAATATATAGGTATATAGTTTGTATTTGTATAAGGAATTGTATAAACTAGTTACCGGCTTCAACTTAATCAGTAAGTCCATATAAGTTGTTTTGGGATAAAGTAAATTTGAAAAAATTTACACATTTATTTCATATATTTGATGACTTACATTTTCACACAAATTTTGACAGCTTACCTGTCACTTTGAACTCCTAATCTAATAATGAAAATAATAAAGTAAACCCTTGCTTGCTTATTTGGACAACGTAAGATAACATACTATTTTTTTATTTTTTATAAATTTTTTTAATTTTTGTTTTTTCTCCATTTGAGAACCCCTAATATGAAAATGACGACATCATATTAAGTTATATTTTATATATGTACCTAATATTTGATTTTTTTTTTAATTTGCCAATGTTTAATTCATAATGACATGAACTTAAAAAAATTGCAAGAAAAAGTAGTAAAATATTTATATAATATAACGAAAGATAAAATTTCACTTATTGTATTCATTTTTGTTAAGCGATCAGTTTAAATTTTTCGATGTTTTTATTATAAGTTCGGCTATTTTTATTTAAATTTATTTATTTTTGCAGTCTGTTTATTTTTATTTAGCTTTATTTTATTTTTTTTGTTTCCTTCTTTATTCTAATTCATTTATTTTTTATTATCTTATTTGTTATTTTATTTTATTTAGTAAAATAAATTTTTAATTTACTTTAATTTTATTATACATCGTTATTATATGTTTTCTTATAATATTTATATCCTATTATATTTTACTTTATAATTTATTTTATTTCATTTGATTTTATTTTGTTTTATTTCATTTCTCTTCACTTTATTTCGTTTAAACTCATTTCATTTTATTTTATTTCATTTCACTTCATTTTATTTTTCATTTCATTTCATTTTATTTTATTTTATTCTAGTTTATTTTTTCTTTTTTTATTTTATTTTATTTTATTTTATTTTATTTTATTTTATTTTATTTTATTTTATTTTATTTTATTTTATTTTATTTTGTTTTATTTTATGATATTTTATTTTTTTATTTTTTATTTTATATTACTTTGTTGTACTTATTTTTTTTTAATTTTACTTTATTTTGTTTTATTTCTTTTGGTAAAGTGACATGAAATTTATCTCATTGTTCGAACAACATTACTTTTGCACGACGCAAAATTCACCAACCGGCAGACTTATTTGTTTGTGTGGGTGTATGGATGTGCCGCCCACACAAGTAAACTGAGACATTTCTTTTCAAAAACAATTTCACAAAAAAATTGAAACAACTATTTGAAAACGAATTCTAGTTAATTCTAACAGTGTCAACTGTTATAAATATGTATATGCTCATATATTAAAAATAAAAAATATATATAATATATAAAAATACAAAGTAATGCCATGAGAACAATAAAAGCAATAGCAAAAAAGTTTTTAAAAATTCTATATAGTCATATGTAAGCGGATCTCCACAAAGCAGAAAACAATTTGCAAATATAAATTAATTCACAAGGTAAACAAGAGACAAATAAAACTAACAGTTATGACGTGCCAAAGTAAGTGAAAAAGCAACGGTTCGTGGATATGTCGGTTTGTGGTTACGCTACGTCACTTATAAAGAAATAAAGTATGTGCATACATATGTGAACAAAACTCTGTTAGTGAATTAAATAAAATTTATGAATGGTGATTTTGAATTGTTGATATCTTTTTCGGCCGGTTATTAACGTAAATGAGTCACAAACCAGCTAAGCAGTCGAAAGCTACTCCGTTCATTTAGAATATTCATACTTAAGAGCTTACATATTTATGTATGTACTTTAATAATTTGAAACTGAAACTAGTTTATCGCAAATCATATGAGAAAAACAAATATAAGAAACGCAACAATTTCAGTTTAGGAATGTAAGTAAGCATTTTGTCTGAATACCCCTAACCACTTTTACTCATCTTCAACCTTGTAAATTTCGTGGTGAAACAGCTTAATTCAATCTCCTTCTTTTAAGGAGTTGCATGGATTTGACAGTTTAAAGGAAAACTTATTGATTTATTTATTAATTTCAATATTACCTTGAGCATATAAGAATTGGGGATTTATAACCACTATAGCTGACGCTTTATAACTGCCAGCTCCTCTCCAAATTGTGGTTTTTGCATCTTAATACTTTTTCATCAAGTGGAGAAACCTAGAGTTTTTACTAAGCCGCTTCAAATGGTTTTTCACATAAGAAATACCCTTGGCATTACCTGCCGAGGGCCGAGAGCAGTTATAAACTTTTATATTAATTTTCCATAATCTTGAATATTTTCAGAAGCAGGACTCGAACCCTGCCCTTCAGAACGCCAGAACGCGATTCTAATGGCTCAGCTATTGCGGCTGCCGGTCGAGAATATTATCCCAGATTTTCAAATCGATCCGAATAAAATTTTCGAGCTTTAAATGAGTTTTTCTTGAAACTGTGTTTTCGAAGTCGGTTGCCAAACCAATCTTGATGAAATTTTACACAAAAGTTCGAGATGTAATTCACTAGAAAATTGACACAGATTTTTTTCAATCCCAACTGTTAAGGTTAAAAAATGTTAAATAATTTATTTTTGTTTTCCATTGCTCAAATTCTAGTTTATTGTATAACTAAAACACCACCAAGTAACGAATTCTACTTGCAAGATATACTTTTCGAGGTGTCTTCGGAAATGACAATGACTGAAAACTTCAGAAATTTTTTTTTCAAAGACATTAAAAATTTTGAAGAAGAAATTACTAAAAAAAATAGGCTTTTTCCCCTCGAATAAAGATATTTACGCCCTTAGCCTATTTAAGATAAATAATGTTGTTGTTGCTGTTGTAACTTTACCAAATTACTTTTTGGAAAATGTTGCGGGAATGACAGTGTTTGGCCGGATAAAAATCCGGGTCGTTTCGGTGTAAAGACCCGACTGTCGCTGGAACTATTGGACTTTGGTGACCTCCTACGACAGACATGCTTTATCGCGGGAAAATTCTTGAACCCTTAACCCGCAGGGGGTAACACAAATAATAATTGCATATGTTTATGTACCAGAGAATGCTCGTATAATGGGAAGGTGCAAATGTTAACTAAAAATTGAGGAAACACAAACCTAGAGCTGTTGAGTAGGCATGCATAAATTGAGGAGATTTAAACTCAATGCGCAAAATGTATGAATGTATGCAACTTAATATTTATTGTATATTAGCAAAAAAGTGTTTCTTATTAATAAAATTATTAATTAAATTGCAAATAATAAGATAATTATGTAAATAAAAAATTAAATTTATAAATCAGAAAAAATGCACTGTGGGATGCAATCCAACGCCACTTCTCGTCGCATCAATGAACAGAATCAGAAATAAAATATTTTATATTTAATTTCTGTAATTTTATGAGTGCCTGGTGCATGATTTTTATCAATACAAATATAAATACATGTTTTAAAAATCAAAACCGAAATTTCTGCCTTCACATACAAGCGAACTTCAAATTTTTCTATTAGGGTGGTGCAGGGAACTAATCAAATACCAGATCCGTGGATTTTTTTAAATTTCTTTAGTTTAAACCGAATGCCAGAACGAGAAATCTCAAAGAGAAACGTTAACTGCTTGATGTTCTGGAGTACCTAAATCGGTTCATTATATATTATATTTTGCAATCCATTGATTAAACTCTAAAATACTGAAATAATTGAGAACTCACGTTTCTGCTTCTTCTTCCTGAGAGGAATTGCAGTTCACCGTGAATTAGCGGAGGGTTTACTTCACATCGTCATTCGTAAATATTTACGAATATGGTGGAAGGTAATCAAGATGCCATCGTGTAAAGAAAATTAGCATTTTTGAAAAGAAAACTTACAGCACTATTTGAACCGAAGAGTTATGAAGTCTCATATCATTGTTATTCATGCAATACAAAATAATTACAAATTGTTCTTCAACTAGCATATGCTGAAGCTACAAAGTTTTAGATAATTTTAGCTTTAAACTCTTATGCAAATTCTAGAGCAGATATGGCAGCACACTTAGAAAATTCATCTACACGTCATGAATTTAATAAAAGTAAAATTACGTACAGAAATACAAACAAATTACGTGGAGGTAGGTAACCAAATTTGACCAAAAACAACATATTGTATGGAGTTAATTATTTCCCAAACATTAAACTTGCAGCGGAAAAATGCAATTGTGTGATTCAATAAAAGCGGGGAACACGAACGTTAACAGAAAGTGTGTGAAACAAAAACATTATTATCGTTTTTAGTAAATCGTGGTAAGCGAAATTCTCAAGTATACAACGTAACAATGGACAATGAGACACCGTCGGTTTGGAAACGTATAACAAGGAAAGGCAGTGGCTTTGTGGTCTGTGATACGCCCACTGATAACTACGATTCTGCAACAAAAAACCACAACATCACTCAAGCCACGGTTGCAGCCATCCAGAGTAATGCATTATTGCAACTGCAAGAACAGCAACGTCTAGTACGCGTTTCCTTACTCTCTGCAAGCTTTGTGAATATTTGCATCTTCATAGCAGGCACTAGTGTAGCCTTTTTTCTCTATGAATTCCTTCACTTCAATCCCTATAGTGCGTTGATACGTCAAGCAACCAAACAATTACAACATTTGCCTGATAATCATTTTCTTCAAACACGCGATGATTTTGCTGTTTATGCAGCTCCAGGTATGGGTGACATTGATTTGAGGGCGTTTACGGATATGCACTCACAAATGAAAGAAGACGAGACGCACGACTCCGGTACGAATATTAAAGAGGCACTCGACTCATTAAAACTTGCGACGGAAATGCGCATAATGGGTAAAGAGGAGAAAGCGCAACGCTTATATGAGCATGCATTTGCACTAGCACCGAAGCATCCGGAAGTGTTGCTGCGCTACGGGGAGTATTTGGAGCATGATCAACGTAACATTCTGTTGGCCGATCAATATTACTTTCAAGTTGGTGATCATAAAAAAACATTAAATACATTTAAACATTTATTATAACATATTTCAGGCGTTAATGCTCAATCCAACCAATAGTGAAGCGGTCGCTAATCGTCAGCGTACTGCTGGTATTGTACAATCCATTGACGAACGCAAGCTAGAGCTACTTGATTTAAAGCGTGACGCTCTCTCTGCGGTGCACGAATCGAATGCTGCTTTACGACGGGCTAAGAAAGAGGCTTATTTTCAACATATTTATCACTCGGTAGGCATTGAAGGCAACACAATGACTTTGGCACAGACACGCTCCATTTTGGAGACGCGCATGGCCATCGATGGCAAGTCGATTGATGAGCATAATGAAATTTTAGGTTTGGATTTGGCAATGAAATATATCAATGCAAGTTTGGTAAACAAGTAAGCGCAAAAAATGTATACCAGTCTACACTCACTTTTATAATAATACAAATATTGGTTTCTTAGAATCGAAATAACATTGAGAGATATATTGGAGATTCACAGACGTGTTTTGGGTCATGTTGACCCAATCGAGGGCGGTGAATTTCGTCGAACGCAAGTATATGTTGGTGGTCACGTACCACCGGGGCCTGGAGATTTAGCAATACTTATGCATCACTTTGAAAACTGGTTGAATTCTGAACAAACAGTTTCTCTGCATCCAGTAAAGTGAGTAATATATTTAATAAAGAAGATTTGTATGCCAAATAATTTTTTTCAAATTGTTAATCCATACGTTCTTTCTGCAGACACGCCGCTTTAGCTCACTACAAACTGGTTCATATACACCCATTTATAGACGGTAATGGTCGCACATCACGTTTACTAATGAATGCGCTTTTGATGCGCGCCGGTTATCCGCCTATTATTATACCAAAGCAACAGAGGTGAAAATAATAACAATTTTTGTTTTGATTTAATTTAAAGCCCCTCTGTCTCCCATATTAGGCACAAATATTACCAATTCCTACAAGTGGCAAACGAAGGTGACATACGCCCCTTTGTACGCTTCATAGCTGATTGTACTGAAAAAACTCTTGACTTATATCTTTGGGCCACCAGCGACTTACCGCATCAGATACCAATGCTGGCGCGGACAGAGAATGAATTAGCGTTTGTTGACAAATTGGTAACACCCGTCGAAAGCACAGAATCTGCCGCAAAGACACAAGGAGGCACACAGCCAATAGATGTATTTGCCTCAGGTTCAGGAGATATTCCTTAACATTTTATGATTTTTTTGATAGTACTGTATGCCATGTAGTGTTTAGAAGTCAAACAAGGGTCGTAGTTATATTAGTTTGAAAGTAAGTTACAAGTATGTGTTAATTAGCGAAAACACGGAAGACAAAAAGCTGTTTTGTACAAACGTATATGAAATTTGTGTGATTTTTTTTTTTTGTATATGTGTATATTACGTATGATATGCAACACTTGACTGTGATCTGTTAGAAGTGTTTCGGCGTATATTTGTAAACTTGGCATATCTCTTACACTGTATATAGGCGGACAAGGCTGCTGCGCAAATAATATATTATATTTTATTTATATACACGTTTACACTTCCAATCGCAAAAAAAAATGATGTACATATGTAGATATACAAATTTTTAGTTATAATTGTAAAAAAAATCCTGGCAGTGGTTTTGTGGGTACGCACTGACAAATCAGAGTAACAATGCCAAAAAGCTACATTATTCAAAAGAGAAAAGTACTGCCAAAATATTAAGACAACCAAAAAATCAAGAATGACTTTCAATAATAATGTTTGTATATATAGGTATTTATATATTTAGCATTAATAAGTACACATTGGTAGATTTAACAAAAAATTCATAAACTAAAAAACTATTAACGAATCACAAGGTCTGTTACATATGCAGCCACTCGGGCTCTCTACTGTGAAACAAAAATTATTTATATGTATTTAAAATTACATTAAAAAATCAATTTAAAGCACAAACTACTTGCTGTTTCTTACAAAAATTACGGTGTTATTTTATATTATGTGCGTTGGCGAATACTAAATTATTACAATAGAATAAAAAAGACTATTATAAAAACTACATAACTATCTATTAAACTATATAAAAACTCCACTTCAGGATATCTACATTTTTGACTTCTGCAAAAACTCCTTATATGTAACATCGCGCCACCAGTGAGGTCTTTCGAAAACCCCCGGCGCTTGTACGATTGCGGCTTGCAAATGCTGGTAAATCTATTAAAAATAATTTAGAACATTAAAATTAATAATTGTTTTTCCGAAATATTATAGTTACAAATACAAAAACTAACATTGCCATCACTCATGCCCAGCGGCGAATTGAGTACAAAGTCGGTGGGTGCGATTGCATCGACGAGCGATACCGCCTCATTCTTTAGCACTGGCAATAAGTCCAAAATGCCTTGCTGATAAAGATCGGCATGCGCTCTATCCTCGAAATAGCCACCTTGATAAAATATACCAATATGTTTGGTGATCAAATCCGCTCCATAGAAAGACAAAAGTTTTCGTAGAACATTTCGCTCATTCGAAGGCGCCGCAGTATCGAGGAAGCGATGGAAAATGTAGTAAATTGTGCGCTGTGTTTGAGAAAAATAGTTTCACTTTCACCAAAAACAAGAAAAAAATTCAAACTATCCCTACCTGCGCATAGACTATGGATAACTGTTGTGCATTGAAAACTTGTATGTTGTTGCGAGTTTCGAAAGCATCTTGGCCTTCCTTTTTCAAACTTTCAAAGCGACGTACAGTGGTGTCTAATTGGTAGGCTACTAGCCAATTTAAGGCCTTTAAAAGATCTGCAAGTATCGAAAGAAACATATAATTTGTATTCACAGTGAAGAACATGATCAAGTACTTACTATCCGGTTGCAGCACTTGCTCCACGTTTCGTTCTGTCGCTCTTGTGCGCAAAATCGAGTCCATATCTTGCAAGAAGGTCACGGTGTTCATAGGAGAGACATCATTAAAGTTTGCGCCATTGCGCCGCAAACTTATTAACCAATTAGATGCTTGCTGTATGAGCGTGTTATTCTCACCCTCGTATGTGCAATTGGCGTCGTTATCGTTCCGAAGTTCGCCTAACCCAGCCACTTTCAGGTAGCCATGACCACCACACGCTTCACGACATTCTTGTATACCATCGCGTGCCGCCCATGAGCAAACCGGTTTTGCGGCCGAAGAGACGGCGTGTATTTCCATCCCTTTGCTAGAGGTGTCCTCACCCATAAATGTGCGGAAAGTCAAGTCAACATTAGCCGTGCCAATCCACATGGTGAAAATACGTAAGGCATAGGCTGTCGCCAAGTGTGGTATCAGACGATACTGCTGTGATTGATATTCGATTACAGGCCATTCTTCGCTGCTGTCTTCGGGTCCGAATTGTTTGCGGCATGCAGAGTAACGAGTAGCAATTGTGATAGCTTTGCTGAGTGCTACATACGCCAGCGAGCAGATATTTACTCGTCCAGCTGATAATGAACTCAATGAGGCACCCAAAAGTTTGCGCTTATCCTTTACTTTACTTACATAATTGCCTTTTTCATCGATATCACCAGTTTTCGAAAGTAAATTTTCGCCAGGTATGCGATATTCGTTGAACATAACAAAACTATGCAAATAATGAAGGTAAAAATTAAAAAATTAATAGAAAATACAACAAATACTCACCCATTATCAATGCCATTCAAGCCGACCTTCTCGCCCAAATCGCCAACAGTCACACCAGGATAAGATAAGAGCGTACGTTCGTTACGTATTGGCACTAGGAACGCATTCAAACCTTGATATGTATCGTCTGGCACATACAACTGCGCATAGACAATTGCGTGTGTGCAAGTCTTGCCCAAATTGCCAACCCAACATTTTGCAGCCTCAAAGTCTGGTGTATGTATAATGAACTCGCGTGTCTTCGCATCGTAAGTGGCACGTGTTCGCATCCCCCGAGTGTTCGTACCGTGTGACATTTCAGTGAGCGCAAAAGCACCGGAAATCTCATTATTTGCTATTTTCGCGGCATATTTCGCCAATCGTTCAGTACCCAAGGACAGTATTGTGCTCGGAAACATGCCGTTCGAAAGCGAGTACTTAATGGAAAAGCTGGACTCATAAGAAAACATGCCCTGCGCCATGGCTAGTGAGAGATGAGGTGCGGCTGCATACTGCAAGTGATTAATAACTTATTGAAAAGGTATTTTACATAAATTTCACTATTCCACTATTTACTCACATCATGCAATCCATAGAACTGTTGGTCCCAGAGCAATTGACAACGTTTATTCGCCTGTTGGCGTTGACGTTCAAGTGTGGGCGTTTCCAAATCATGTTGAAAATCAGGATGCTTCTCCATAAAGTTCCACACCCGGTGCTATAGGAATAAAGGAATCAAGAAGAAAAACAAATAAAAAAATATGCCAAATTATAATACACACGAAATCACTTTCGAGTTAGGTAACTTTAAAAAATCATTAAAATATTCGAATATAATATATTCATTCGATATTTATGAATTAACTTTCACTAAAATGAGGTGGCTGTATTTTTAGGACTGACCCTCCCTCCCGTAATTTAACCAGACGTGGCCTTTCCAGAGACCCTTTTTCATCCTGTACGATGGAACTTAGTTTTAGTTTCTACTATTCATTAAAAAATATTTCTTTTAAAATGAAGAATAAAGAATTTTATAATATATATATATATATATAGAGGGGTCCTTATCAATACAGATGAAGTGATAAACTGCGTATATTTATCCGTTAAAGACATTTTTCCTATACAAAAATTTAAATTTATTTAACTGGAGGTAATAATATTATATTAGGTTAATAAGCCATTTGCACGTCCAAAAGAAGGCCCTAATAATTTATTTGTATCTTACTACATAGCTTCGCTTCCAACTCCTCTCTCCGGATAAAGTAATACCTTCCTCTCTTGACCGAACTACAATACATGATTGACAGACGCTTCCAAAACAATCTGAATTGATTTTCGTACAAAAATATCACTTAACTCTTCTTTGCAGGCTAGCCACGTCTTAAAAAGTTGGGTATACCTGATGGTATGTCTATTAAGAAGGAAAATTACTAAACATATAGGTATTTGCAAGTTCGTGCTAGTAAAGATACTCATTACACGGTAATTTGGTGGTAGTGGAGTAGAATCGTCCCTTACACTCAACACAGGCTACCAGGCGGGTTAGGGGTTCAAGAATTTACCCGCGGTAAGGGATGCCTTTCGTAAGAGGAGACTAAAATCCAATAGTTCCCGCGACAGTCGGGTCTTTATACCGGAACGACCCGGATATTTCATCCGGCCAAGGACTGTCACTTCCGCAACATTCCCCAAAAATTACTTTGAGGAATATTTTTGCGGTTACAACAACAACAAAGCGACTACAGTGCATCAAATGAAATGCTAGTCGCATTTAAATGGATTTTATTCAAAAAGAATTGAAGAAACTCTACAATAATGTTCAGTTAATATTAACGGCTTACACAGAAAAAAAATTCCAAACTAATTTTCATATTTCAATCATCCTTCTTAAAAATCTAAGTACCAAGCAAATTTAACATAAATCTTCGTCATTTTTGAGGACTATCCGAAAAAGCAAAGCCAAAAGAAAGAGCTGTTATACAGCTCTTTGCAGAGTAAAACAATTTACGCTATCAATTTTATTACTGGCTAATCTTACTGACATTTCTCTCCGAACAGAGCTATTGTCCCACTTTCTAATATCCGTACAAACTTAGTTTTATCCGAGTCTTTTTTTTTATCATACTGATCAAACTATTGTACAATAGAAAAGTGCACGAATTTATCAAAAGGGAGTGGAAATTGTGAGTGTTATAAACATGTACATATAAAGTATTTATTTATAAATACATATACAATTTTATTTATCATATCGTAAAATAAATGGCGGTGAGTACAAGCGAATTAAAATGTGTGTTACAAGTGAAATCTTATCTATTAAAGTACTATCTTGTATCTTGTTCATTCGTATGTTTGCATTACAAGTAATATTAAATAATATTAAAGTTTCGACCTATAGTTACGTATGTACATATTAACATATATAAAAAAAAGTGATAAAGTTTATGAGTAGGATTAATTGTTATCTGTATGAACTTTTTCGATTTCTCATTTGAATACACCTTGCTGATCATGAATGAAAATCGGCCGCGGTTTAGTATTATCCTTAGTTGTTATGGTAGAAAATTATTATGGTAAAAATTTTTTACAACTTCGTATCCTACTGTCTGTCATTGTAATCATGATAATATAAGGAAATATTCTAATTCTATGCATTAAAAACATTTAATTTGAAAATTTTTGCCGAACTGGTGAGTTCATTATAGTCTGGAAGCTCATAAAAGGAGCACACCTAACATTTTCATATATGTGCATCACACTTTCTAGGAATTTTTTCTTGTTGTAGTGACTTGTTCAACCCTTCTTATAGCAGGACTGGATAGATAGTGGAGGGAGCTACTGTAGTCCGGGTACTCATTGTATGCTGGAGATATTTTAAGTTATTTGTGCCATAATTTTTCGGGTCTATGTTCGTATTGCATTCCAATCACTCCGTTCACGAAAGATAATAAATAAAGGAGTTAACACACTAACTAAGAATGATTAGGGCCTGTAAGTAGATCGTTATTGTTCTTGTAGCGGTTCGCTAACTCCGCTTAGGTACAGGTTTAATCAACCTAAGTCGCCGAGATCATCTAGTGGGAGGTCCAGGAAACGTATCGTTTCGACGGGATTGGACCAGAGGGAGAGGGGAGTTAGATGAGTCAGTTATAGGTTATAGGTATTTGAGGAGGTGGTTAGTGGCGTGCGGAGGCCCCATACCAAACGCGTGCCATGGGCACGCGGGTCTGTCGAGGCAACTCGAGCTCATTGTAGGAAATTCATCTGCGTCTCGTTCGTCCCTGGCGCCCACATCGGTGCAGCATAGTTTACTATCGGTCGGCCAATTGCTTTGTTAGTTGCCAGCAAAGTTTCTTTGTCTTTACCCCAGTCGGTAGCGCTTCGAGTTTTTTCTTGCGGCTCTGGAGTTTTGTGGCAATTGTGGTCGTAAGCGGAGTGAAGGAATGCCGGCTATATAGTCTTACTCTCAATATCTTTGGGTTTTTTATAGTCGGAATTTTTACGTCGTCGCCTTCACGATTAATTCAAGCCTGAACTCCTTCCTCCAGCTGGTGAAGAGGATAGCCGAGAATTTGGTTTCGAACAGAAGTCATCAATATCCTGGACAGACGTCATTATCGTGCAATCATCGGCATACGAGGTAAGGGAAACACCTTCTGGGGGAGGAGGGAGTTTCGATATGTAAAAATTAAACAGCAGTGGGGAGAGGACACCACCCTTCGGAACTCGCGGTTTAATTTTCCTGGGTTTTCGATGTTTCGCCTTGGAATATTACCGATAATTGTCGACCACTCAGGTAGCCCATCACCCACCTCTGCAACCCCGGTGGCAATGAGGATGTCCGTTAGTAGCATTGGTACAGTGCTACCAGGGCAGTTCGCGCGCAGGGTCGGTTTTGATTAAGACCATTGACTATCTAAGTGTTTATGGCGTTTAGTGCTGTTGTGGTAATATGCACTTTAGGGAAGCCATGCTGATGTGCTGCTGGACGCAGATGGTGGGTGAAGGTCGGGAGCAGCAAAGCCTCAAGCTCCTATCCAGCAGTTATTTGAATCGGTATATACAAAAGAGTATATATTTTTTCTGGACAGTTTTAAGAAAAAATAGATTTTTTTTAGCTATTTAATAAAAGAATTTATTACCTCAGATAAGAAGAGATTAAAAGCGGATATAAAGATTGCAGTGGCTTATCGTAAAAATATGTACAAATCGAACCAGAGAAATTTTATATACTGAGATAATCTCCGACTTATAAATAAGCTTGTTATTTAAGCAGTTTTATTCTTCTTACACTTAATTCTCAAAAAAAAAAAAAAAAAACTAGATGAAATGAAATGAACTGGAAAAATGTCAATCAATTCGATAAAACTCCTCTTTTTTCGCTAGCTTTCGCTATCATTTTTTCATGAATTAGGTTCAGCGAGTTAAACAGTCAGTAAAATATCAACGCTTGGCTAAATTTGATAACAATTCATATTGCCCATCAGCTCACCTAACAGGATTGTTTGTATTGAAATTGTGTATATATAAGTACTTTGTTGTTTTATTAGGACTATTAGTCAGCGATTACTGCAAATATGCAAATATAACGTGTCTAAAAGAAGACTTATAAATATGATTATTTATTTCACTTTTACTTTTCAAAAGAATTCTTTGTTTCAGACTTTGCACCAACTACATGATTTATATCAAAAGATTAACCTTTGTACTAAGATCGAAACAGCGAAAACTACTTAATCTAAATTCACTTAATTGATTAACAATATTCTATGCTAGCGCTTATACATTTGTACATATATACATACATAAATTTGTGTTTGAGCTGTGAGTTACACGTACGCCCGTAGTATGGCTGCTAGAGTATTTGAGGTAATTAAAAGTTACTCGTACAAGCGTTACTTAATTTTAAACTAAATTTATTACTAAATCATTGTTGCGATGCTCACCTTCAATCGGATATGTTCCTCACCCTCCAGTAGGACATTCATGCGTTTGTAACAAAATGTTGAAAGTTGACGGTACTTTGTTAATGGTCCAGTTTTGAAATCTGGAAATATTATCTTGTCTTCATATATATTTTCCGAATGCTTCTCCTCGGACTCGATCTCGCTGGGATTTTGTAAAAGTGATAAGAATTTCATTAATGCAGCCATAATTGTATGTTTTTCTATAACTGTTTTTTTTTCTTCTTCTTTATTTAATCAATCAATCTGCGGTCTTTGTTACATGTGTTTACACGACGCAAAGCCTGTTTCAAGACTGGTTTTATGGTCACTTGTGCTTACGAACGCAAGTCGCTGAGTGTATATTAGCTGGTCAGTGCTCTAATTGTGTTGAAACGATGAGAAGCTTATGAGAAGTTGAAATATATTGTAAATGAGCTCTCTCAAGAGTTTGTAAGGAAGAGCATTAAAAACGAATTTTGCGAAAACTGCATATATTTAAGGAGGTTACCTTGAAGGCATTTAGAGACTTTTCGTTTTAATGGGAGGATGAAGATGATTGACATTATTCAAATGTTAACATAATAATTTTATCTAATTTTTTTAAATATTTTTAATAAAATGTTAATTTTTATTAACAGTCTTTATTTCATGTTAGAAATACACTCGGAGGGGTTGACATTTCCTGCCCATGGGCGATCGCAAATAGAAATTTAACTTAAACTTTGCTTTCAATTAATGTTCTATAATTTTTGGATATAGTTCGGATTTCCTGCCCAATTGGCCTCATCGGTGAATAATTATTAAAGTTCAATTAAGTTTTTTTATATAACATACATACATACATATGTATTAACTTTTGTCCTTGGTAAGAATTACGAGCTTAAGACTTATTACTTTATAAGTCTTCTGATAACAGAATAGGTACTAGAACTCGTGATACCAGCGCAATGATCGAATATCTACTTGAAATTTTTCAATTTTCAATTTTGTTTGTCGAAATTTTTTTAGTATTTCAAATGCTAGTGCATATGTAGGTTGTTGTTGTTTGTTTTTTGGGGAATGTTGCTGGAGTGACTGCCCTTGGACCGACTGTTTTTTTTTTTAGTAGTAGGGATTTTATTCTTAATTAAGACTTCACTATAACTGTACACTACCACCATTCCGCACATTTCCACTTACTTGTTTCTACCATTAATTGCCACCATGTTGAACTTTTAACGTTTCAAATGACTCAATCGTTATATTTGGCTTTGCGCGTGGCTTTACAAATTTTAACTGACTTCGAAAACTCCAACTGCACCGTGTGAACGCCAAACACCGACTAGAATAGAAGAGCATAGGTAACTTATCAAAAATACCAGGTTTACCCTAACAATTATATACATGCGTACATATGGATAGGAGCTTATGCATTCTCATACATATATATTTATATTTTTTACGAGACGTACATGAGCAAGTTGTTTTTTTTATTTAATTTTAATAAGATAACCCAAAACTATTTTGGCTAATCTCTTAAATAGTACAAGTTTGAAATGTTTAAAACTTGCGGATCGATATTAAATAACGTATTAGGTCTTACATACATACTTACGTAGTATGTATGGATGTACTATCAACTAAAAACTTATTAAAGCCTTTTGTAGTTGCACCAAAATATAAAATCCATTCGTGCACGATTTCACTTTCAGCAGAAGTATTTATTGCATGCAATAATTTTTATGGGGTTGAAGTTGTGATTGCACTTAAGTGGCACAATTTTCCGATCAAGTGAAGAAAACAAACTAAAAAAAAATCGAAGTCTAAAATAAATAATAATTTAGCAAATCCAACTGTTATCATATAATTAACTTACAGGTGCGCCTATTTACAATTACGACTTCTGCTGGGTACACCAGCACTGATGTAAATATGTATATGTATTTCACTTTAGTATAATCATTTATTTTCCACTCAACTCACTTCATTCACTCAATTTACTCATTATTAATGTCATTGCAATAGATAAAAACTCGCTCATTAAGTTTACTTTTGATTACATTGAGTGCGCTTTAACCCAATTTAATGACGCTCATAGTAATTAAATTTATTTGATGCCTTTCGTTGATTTTTGTTATTAGGCAAAAACAGCTGTTAAAGGGCCAAATGTCAAAAGCCAGCTGATTGTGGTGTTCACAAGCGTAGGAAAATAATGCATATCAGCGTAAAATTGTTATACAGTTCAGCAAAACAAGTCCCATTTATGATTATTAAAAATATTTCTTTAAAATTTTGTATTTCATGCTAGTCAAGTTCAGCACGTACAAATTTATTAGATTGGGTTGCACGCAACATCTATGATAATTGCATATATATGAAAGGGAAAATGCTAGAAATAAGTTCATTTATTTACATATTCAGCCGTTTTCCCACTTTTTCATTTCGTTTCCACAATGGAAATCCCAAAATTTCCGGTGAAAGTGCATTGCTGTGCCCCGATTGCCAAGAATTTTATTTTCTGTGTCACACATAACGTTTATCGTTTTGGCAATTCCCTGAAATTTCCCTTTTTTGGGTTGAACTATGCTTGCATTTATCGAGATCTACAGGAAGTCGTTTTTTTCAATTCCCTCACAAAGGAGCATTTAGTTAATTTATGTGGGTGTGAAAAACGGAGCAGGTATTATGAGATTTCAATCCGAATTTACAGGAAAATATGTGAATGTGAAACTGGAAACACGGCTGATCAGCTACTTTTTCTTAATCAAATTCACCTTCGAGGAACCAGGGTAAACTCAAAGACGGTAGCAGCAAAATTTCAAATCTATGCCAAAAACCACTTTTTTTTTGTAAATTTTCATATAAACTTGTGTTGCTTTTTCTCATGATCTCTTTGCAGTTTTATATAAGGTTTATTACAAATTGAATTTGAATAAGTTTCTGAAACAGTTTTTGTAGATTCGAAAATAAAATCTTTTATTTTACAGTTTATGTTTTGCCTTTTTTTATGATTTATGGAGTTTTCTTTCACTTCTTCATTCTACCAATCCCTGCTTCATTCGTTTCGCTTACGGCACAAAATAAAATAATGTAGTAAGTCTGCAGCGTATCAGAATCTTTTTATATAATACTAGCAGACCCAGCAAACTTCGTCTCGCCTTAATTATATGCCTTGTTAATACATCAAGAGTGATATTAAAGTATATTGTATGAAGATAGTTCAAATCTTAATGTGAATTTTTTGAATGAACTCCATCAGCAGAAAGCCATATGTTAGTAGGCAAGCAAGGACAAACAACAAAGATGATTGGTCAACACGCGTACATGGGCAGTTCTCATCAAATTACTTAAATTAAACTAAGCGGTTTCAGTTAAGAAAAGTTCAAAACACGAGCGAACAAAAAAAAAATCAAGCGAATTGAACCATAAATAAGATTATTAAGAGCCAGTTTCTGCATGTAAATCTAAACGATAAGCTAAAAATACATTTTAATTTTCAGTGAATCGAATCGTATCTTAGATTATCTTCCATGAATCGGTCCCCGAGATTTTCTTAATAAAGTTGAATTCTATTTCGGTTCAGCCGTTATCAATTGTGGGAAAACTATAAGTTGATTTCAACATAAGATTTTCTCATTGGGGGAGATGAATTGACCACATATCTATTCTGCATAAAGCAAATGGAAATGCTCGGCTTTTACGCGCGCCTTCCAAAAAAGCTTCAGCTTAAGTCAATGAATGATGAAGCTAATCAAATATGGGCTCGGTGACCCTTGGTCCACTTCCTGGAGAAAAAAAGAGTATTCCTGTGAATTTAAGCAATGAAATTATGAAATTCAAGTAATTCGATCCATTAATATTTTTTTTTTTAGAATAGATCAGTCCCCGGTCCACTCCTCGATAAGTAGAAGAATATTCCTGTAAATCGAAGCAACCTATATTAAATAAATACAATATATAATTAAATTAAAATAAGCCAGTTCAAATGTACTTACTAAAACAAATTGTTGGCTAATATTTACCAAATTCCATCCTCGCAAAACTTAGTAGGACATCTTATTCACTGAATCTTTTGTTGCATAACAATTCCCGGCCATTCTTAGCGAACACACTTAATATTTATAAACATTTACACGCATACAAACGTACATGACTTATCGATAATAATGGAAATTTAAAATATTAAACTTATCTACACATTTCCAGTTTAACCTGCCCACTTCACACAATTGTTCTCTTATTTGTTTAAAATGCTGCGAGCGACAGTCGCCTAAAAGCTTTCAACAAGTAAAGACTACTATTTGTGCAGTGCGCTTAGAAAAATATTTAAAAATCAATTTGAATAATGTCTGGCCAAAAAGGTAATACAAATTTTTAAACTCCTTTTTTTATAGTGCTGAAAGGACAAGGCCAATTAGGTCCCTGAATTAAGAAATAATACGGAAGGAAATACGAAAATAATATTTAGTGATATGTACTCAAAAGCTTCGACCTATAGTAACTATGTACATATGTACATACATGTGTGCATTTATATAGGTTCAAGTGATCGTTGCGTGCATTGTACATACATTTATGTAGTAAAGTGATAAACAAGTGCATTGTTCGGTGAGAAATGTCAGTAAGAACCAACGAAATTGAGAGAGTGTATTTACCTCCAAGTGGATAAATTTACTGAGTTTTCACCGGTACAGGAGTCAGTAAAAATTAGCCAGAAATTAAATTTGAATCCGTTTTTTTTTGTCTTTTTTCTGCTTTTGAGTATTCTCATAAGTATTTTAATAAAATTTACATTTTTATGACTGTTTAAAATTATTAATTGTATCCAAAGATTATAGTAATGCAACAACGATATAATTCTACATGCTTCATTGCCATTAGACAAGATAAATTTCACGTTAATCCAAAAAAGTCTATCGTTTCGGTTGAAACAATCGGAAATATTAACGTCAAAGCAGTTATCAAAATAATTTTTTTTTCGTTTTTCTACGAAAGGAAAAGCTGTCGTTAATGTTAAATCGTTAACAGATAATGTTAAACGTTAAAATTGAGGTGTGCTGTTAAATCATAGCAGGCAGCTATTTTAAAATAAACGTTAACGAAAAGTTCATGCGGCTTCAACATTAATGATATCATTTCGTTGAGTTGTTAGGAAAACGTCATGATGTCGTTGCGTTTTTGAGCATCTCTGCCATTAAACCATCAAGAAAATATATTTATTTTTATAGTCATCTGAAAGAAATTTATATAAAACTTGCTTTGCAACTATTTTTCACTAAAACTTTCATGAAAATGTGTTTTAAAGTCTTTTCGACCTTGCTTTAACTGGTAATATTAATAAAATATTATAGAATTTTTTTATTTCCTATTGAATAGAACATAAGTACATGCAGCAAGAGATTTACTGCTCTTTTTAAATTCGACTAACTTTTGAGTTTGTTTGTTGCTTGCCACCGATTTCAGAAGCTTAAGCTCATTTGGACGACACTGCTTTCTAGTATTAAATTATATTTATAATTTCCAATACCTCAATACTGCCGGGGCATATATACTATTCATGGGATCGTTGATATCATTCAGTTGAATTTAACAAAAACACATTTAATATCTCCTTTTGCTTATATATCAGTTATTACATAATAATTATGTATTAATACAATTTCCATTTTCAATAATTTTTAGTTTGTTGACAAAAATGTAACGATAAGACTAAAAATCAGTTGTTATCATACTTTCATACTTGGGGGCTTTACTGGCTGAAATTTTCTCAGCACGAATTTGCAACTTCCTCTCTCTTTGCAAATAATTGCAGTAGTCGCTACCAACTATTACTACCAATTAGCTCGTCGAACAGAGTTGCTTATCTATCTATATCTATATGTATATAAAAGGTTTTGTCCTGAATGACTCCCGGATCAACCTACAGCCTAAACCGCTGTTTGTAGAGACATGAAATTTGGATGATGTGTTCGGGATTTTCCCGGATTTTCCAAAGATATTTTACCCAAATGATCATTGGAAACACATTTTCTTTGTTTGGAGTTATATCGATCTATTTATAGTTCGATTTGCTTCAAATTTGCATGTTTAAGATAATAAAACTAATTGGAGACCGTTAACCAATGTCGTTTAATTAAAAAAAAAATGAGAAAAATTGTATAATATTCCATTTTTTGCGGTATTAATAGTTTGTGTATTTTAATTTTTAAAAATAAAGTGTCCATTTCTGTTGCAAATGATTGAAAACAATCTTGCGTTGACAATGCAAAGCTCAAAATCATTAAAGTCAACAATTAAATTGCTTTTGGCTTAATATATTATATTATCTATGGATCAGATCCGTAGCACAAGCAATTCGCACATCTAAAAAATTTAATTTAATAAATAGATTACTGCAAAGTATTAGAAATATTATTTGAAAAATGGTAGGAGTCACTTTTTCTTAACAGGCCATTTACGGCATACTTTACTGGAAAACCACAGTGGAACGCGAGCGCGGAGTTAAAGCAAGCTTTAAGCGATCTCTTTTATGATCGTCAGCGCAAATCTCAGCCTCACCAAAAATATGAGAGTCCGTTTGAGATAAAAAGTTACTTCCCTACCGCTCTCAGACATGTTGCTTAAATAAGAAATGGTTCTTTCCCGGAACTGAATAACAATATAATTATTCCTGCAGAATTAGGAACAACTGTTTCGGCTGTAGAAGAGCTGTTATCTAAGATTTACTCAAGCACAAAAAATATTCGCGATAAGCCTTTAAAATGATTATGCCAGCGTGCCATCTCAACACCAAAAAATTAGCCAGCCTTAGTCATAAATGGAACACTTCTATAATCATTTGAAGGTGCCAAACACCGACGATGCCATTCATAATCTCGTAGAGTTTCTGAATATACCAAAGCTTACCGGTCTCCCAACTCACATACGTGTATTGAAATTAAAAGTTAGAGCTCCAAATGTGTTACTGCGCAATATAAGTCCACAAAATAATTATGCAATGGCATATGCGAAGGCATTGCATAGAAATATACCCCAGGCTACTGTACTAGCATTTTGTTTGTAAGGAGAAACTGTATTTATTCCAAGGATTTCCCATATATCATAAAATTACCACCTCGAATTCAAGAGATTGCATATTCCCTATAATCTATGATTCGAACTAACCATAAACAAACCTCAAGGCCAAACTCTTAGGGTGGCAGAAGTAAGCTTTAGAAAAAGCTGATGGTGACAAGTTGTATGTGGCATGCTTTAGAGTAATTTCACAGAGTAGCTTGGTGAAAAAACAGAAAAATAAAAAAAATTTGTCTACAAAGAAATACTGCATTAGGTATAAGGCTTCGTTTTTGTAATATCAGAACTTTATTTTATTTTCATGTTAATTTATTTTTTATCGTTTACGTTTATCGAAAAATTTGTATCGTTTTGATTGAAACATTCCGAAATATTAACTTTAAAGCATTTATTAAAATAAATTTTATTTCATTTTTACACGAAACGAAAAGCGGTCGTTAATGTTAAATCGTTAACAGATAATGTTAAACGTTAAAATTGAAGTGTGCTGTTAAGAACATAGCAGATCGCCATTTTAAAGTTAATATTAACGATGAGTTTGTGCGGTTTCAATGTTAACGATTGTATTTCGTTGAGTTAATTTTTCTTGTTAGCGAAATGAAATGATATAGTTGCGTTTGTTGAGCACGTTAAAACTTAATTAATTAAGAGACTTTTTGAATTCCATTCAAACAAAGTCGCGGGTAAACTCTAGTATCTATAAAAGCCGATAAAGAAATGCAAAAATTTCACTTTAAGTACTTAAGTTAAGTTGTTTTCTAAGTAAACAATCGACAACTTATTATATTTATCATTATTTGTGTTGCTGTATGTACCTGATATTTACACACATACATATATGTACATACTCAAATAATTACTTAAGGGGGTCGTCTAATGGAAAGGCTGTTTTTTAATACTTTCTTTTATTTATTTTTTTCTAATAACAATTGAAATAAAATTATTAATATTATAATATGTACATCGTTTTTACTCACATTTCAAAAAATTTTTGTAATTTTTTTAAGACAATATTATTTAATAAATAAATTATATTTACAAAATTAATAATTCTAAAAGACATTTTTGTTTCACTTTAGAAAGAGAGTTCAAGTACTCACGCTTTTTTGGGGTATATTTAGCTGTTAAAAAGTTACTTATGTACTAAAAATATTGTGAAAATTTGAGCAAAATCGATGGATCATATTTGATATTTTATAGCAATAGTTTTTAAAAATCGTGTTTTGAAAAAAAAAAACGCGTTTGAAATATAATATATTGTATGTACCCAGCAAGGCTTCTCTGTGGGATGGAACATTTGATATCTAAATATACACCACGAAATACCATAGAATGGCCCTGGGCTTTGTTGATAGTGATTGCAAACTCTAGACGAACAGGGAGCTGTAGTCGCTTGAATTGAATGAAAATGTCTTCGCCTTTGAAAGGTCCGGTCAGAATTGTTGCTTCTATTACGCTCCTCTGGCTGCAAGTCGTGTAGCGTTATAGAGTCTCGGCTGATTAATATTACGCAGCACTATAATGGGCACACCGATTTTCAGTTCAGTCGTGCAGTGGAACCCGCTAGGTACAAATAATTAAAAAATCCTATTGGATAATCATACCGTCGTGTGGAATGCTGTCCACTCGGCTAGTACATATATATACTTTAAAAAAAATGATCCAGTTCCCCTTAAAAAAATATTCTGCAAAAATAACCTTTAATACTATTTTTTCGCAAAATGCCACCTATGTACCGAGTTTCAAATAAATCGAATTAAAAATAACATTTTTTCGAATAGATCACTTCCCGAATTTTTTCCATATAAACTTCCCAGGAACCATAGAAACAATCCGACAAAATTTTGGGCGCATTGTTTGGTAACTTTTGGGGAAATGAACGGAATCTTATATATATCTAAGATAATATCCGAATAACGGTTATAACTAATGAACGGCTTCCAATTATGACCCAAGTGATTTATAAAAATATAAATAAATTTTTTAATCAGAGACACTTAGACCCCCTCGAGATGAGACGAATTAAGTTTATTCAAACAAACATGCGGAAGCATTTAAAACATTTCATTTCCTCACATACTTACAGGTTTATTAATATTATTTTTTAATTTCTTCAATTTTTAGCTTGTTGTCATGGTCCAGGTTATGGTACCCCACTTGATGCCATGAAAAATGGGCCACGTGAAAAATTGCTTTATACCGTTACTGTACAACCCAATTTAGATGAACCACATGGAGATTACTTAGCAACGGTAGATGTTGATCCGGAAAGTCCAACTTATTGTCAGGTTTGTGGCTGTAAAAATTACTTTTGTGTTATTTACATAATAAACTGTATAAAGCACGTAAATATAAATATAATTTAATACTCGTACAATATAATGCATGTGATGGGAATAACAATCTCATTTTTTACATTGGATTTGTATAAAAAATTTGAAATACTCGTAGGTATGTTGATCTAAATATTAGATGCAGTTGTGTAGTATATCGCTTTTGAAATTAATTGTTTTGTATTCAATAAAGGCGGTATTTATTTAATCAAATAGACAGACAACTAATAAATTAAAATAATTATCAATATATAAGTATGCATGCGTAGGGCCAAGGGTTCGATTCTCAACCAGACCACTATCTCTAAATTAGAAAAAAGAAATTTTAATTTGCCGAAAATCGTTTTTTCGGCTTTGAGGCCCGAATTATGTGCTCTTACATATATATGTATCTGTCTTCATATATATATTTACTTATAAAATTTATATGGGAAAATAAAAGATCAGTGTCAGTCTTTGGATGGTACGCATTAGCCAGAGCTGAAATTTGTGAAAATTTGCATAGCGTTAATTAAAATTCACACTCAGGTATTTTTAGGCTTAAGTTATTATTATTTTTTTTAATATTTTCAATTTCAGCTTGCTATACAACTTTACTTGTATATCCGGCAAACATATATGTAAAAAAAAATTTTTTTAATTTAAATCTAATAAAGAGCATCTGAAAAAGAAAATAGAAAGTGAAAAAATATTGGTTTTTTATTTTAGTTTTTATTTCCAAATGACTTTCCAAAATCATCTAACATGAAAGGTTACTGAAAAAATTTAGTAAATTTTCGTCATTGATTTAAATTTAATCTAGGCACTTTTTTCCCAGAGTTTTCCTGATAGCAGGTAACAAACATTGATAACGAATGTCTCTTGTTGTTGCTACTCATAATTCAAACGCATCTCACTACTTTTACTAAACCTAGATAAAGGTAGTTCCAACCAATTTTAAATTAAATTGCAAAGGAAAATATTAAAAAAAAATATCTAAAAATTGTGTTTAATAATATTGAAATTAAATTATGAAGAATGCAAAATTTAAATACCAAAAATGCTTTAATCACTTAAAGTATTTAAATTTAATATTAGGCAAAGCAGTTATCAAAATAAATTTTATTTCGTTTTTTCCCGAAACAAAAAGCTGCCGTTAATGTTAAATCGTTAACAGATTATGTTAAATGTTAAAATTGAAGAGTGCTGTGAAATCATAGCAGGCCGGCATTTCAAAATTAACGTTAACGAAACGAAACGATTTCAACGAATAATTTATCTTGTTAGCAAACCGGAATGATATCGTTGCGTTTGGGAGCATCTCTGCCTTGTAACTAATTAATCAGTTTTAATTATTTACAAATAGTCTTTATATATGTATAGTTGATATCAGATGTGCGAACATACTTACATACTTTTAAAGAAAATTTGAATTTCATCATAACAAAATTTGCAAATCATCGGATACATATAAATATTTTTATAAATACATTCCGCTGTTTAAGGGCAAAGGATCAGTAACATTTTTGATCTTCCCTTATATTCATACATATATATGTATGTATGTACTATATTACTGATTAAAACTAAAAATATACAGGGAGTATGGTCTCTATGCAGATTAATATAATATATATATGTATACATTTGCATACATGTTAATTTAAATATATTGTATATATTCGCTTATCAATACCATTTTAAGTTTGTATGTACCTATTTATATATTTATTTACATGTTAGACAAACTGTATTTCGGTAAGTTGCTGGTACGTGAATCAATATTTATACATACTTGCTCGTACATATATACACTTTCCATTCTTCGAAAAAAATAAACCATTGTATATAATATAACTAGCGTTTTGTAACCGCTGAAGGGAGCTTTTTCTTCAAATTGTTTTGGAAAGAAGAGCGGTTAACACTCTCTGCCGATGAACGACCGCCGTTAGAAAAATTTAATATCCTAAAATTTTGAATGTACCCTCCGCACGACAGTGCGCAGTGCTAACGCTCAGTCGCTTTAATTATATACTTCTTTCTCTTGTACTTTCGTAAGCCACGTGGTCATATGCTTCTAAGACTGTTCCCTCTCTTCATATAGCTTAACGCAGCCTTTCCCATTAAACAACACATGATGTAATGTTATCTTTACTTAGCTCTTCCTTTTTCCTTTATATTTTAAACTAATATAATATATTCTGAGGTATTGCGAAAAGGGTTATCCCCATTCCAATACAATGTTCACATTAAGCCTGCACTTAACTATGTAGATTCACTTATGGAGAAAGTTAATATTCACCAATTTTGTTTTTAATATGAAAATAATTATACACCTTGATATGAATAAAAATTAAACAGAAATGATCGGGGACTTATCCCCCCTGGCCTGTAGATTGCAAGGGGGCCTGGTGTTTTCATTGTCGTATATAGAATAATTTGCTTCTAGAACATCTATGACGTAACTAACTACAGATTTTCATGGATTGCGATACTAATTCTACGCAGGTGCTCAGAGTCGAATTTTAAATCAAAATCCATATGTAATTTACGGGCCATGTGAACCTCACACACTTAATTTAGCTGGAGTGGATACCGCTGAATGCTGTACTAAGGCGATCACTTTTTTCGGAGTCGTTCAAAAATGTTACAACATATTTAGCAGCAGTACACAGCGATAGGGAATCCTAAAAAATAACATACCTTACTCTCTTCATAGTTTATCAGATACAAGATGGTCTGCTAGGATTGACGCTGTTAAGTCTTTTGCCAAAAATTTACCCGGACTAAAAAACACTTTAGAAGAAGTAAGAAAACTGAATCTTACTGCTGAGACTAGACGGGATATTGATGGAATTTTAAAATATATTAGCAAATTTGAATGTGTCCTAATGTCATCGATATGGTTCAAGATTCTTACCTGCTGATGTGTCAATTGAAATATCGTGCGAAATCATTCACTTAAAAAACGTTTATCAGGCTAATTTTGCTGAGAGTAGTACAACTCATTTGTCTCCATTCGATTTGTTGAATGCTATCACCACCAAAAATTTATATACACTGTTTCCAAACATATGCATTGCTCTGCGGATATTTTGCACGTTGCCAGTCTCAGTTGCTAGCGCCGAGCGATCATTTAGCGTACTTTCAAGAATAAAAAACTATCATCGTTCTTGTTCAAGCCAATTTTCGAGTCTCAGGACTGGCAACGTTATGTTTGGAATCTCAATTAGCTAGAAAACTTGACTTCGGTATTATCATTGAGGAATTTGCATCAGCTAAAGCAAAGAAGGCATATTTTTGAGGGTTGCTACCTATTGTGATGCAAACTAAGGTAATAAAATTGTTTAAACAAAAATTGTTCCAGATTAGTCATTCATTTTCATTTTTATTCAAGTTCTATTCTATCTTAATCCCCAACTCGCTGATTTGCAGTGTAAGTACAAATAAACATATTTGTTAGATCATGAAATGGGGGCCCGCATTGGAATTATCCGCGGGTCCCGATTTTCTCTCGGCGGCCCTGCATGTGTCTGTATATCTGTATATGGAAATAATACTCTTTTCTTGCCTATAAACCCAAGGTTTATAGAATAGAAGGTTATGATAAGAGAGATATCAGGTTCAATTTTACAGGTTGCCGAAAATTTTAAAATAAATTTGCATTATTTTATATATGAAACAGCATCACATTTTTATTATAAATCTCCAAAGCCTTGCATAGTAATTTTTAAAAATTAATAACAATTACGATCAAAAGGTTTTCAATAGTATTATGTCGAGCAAATGTAGTTAAATTTCCAAAATATTTTAAATTATGAAAATTAATATTATTTTTTAACAAATATTTCTACAGTTAGCAACTCTACCTTTTGGTATCATCAGTAAATAATGTTAAAAACGAGTAAAATTATTTTTAAGAACTTTATATAGAAACCAATTTTCGCAAATTTTCTTTGTCTGCTAAAAATCTTTTGAGAAATCGGTATTTTGTGAAAAAATCGTGTATAAAAATTCGAACCTGTTAAAAAGTGTGCAGTGTGCTTTTGTGGACGAAAATTTGCAAATAAAAATGTTTTGAGTGATTTATATTAATATTTTCTGATGCGGTATTATGGCATATGGTGGGGTTATATTTATAAATTTAATGTTACAATTCTTAGGATTGGAAACTTGAAGTTTTGGCATTAAGAAAACTTGAATTCATCGCACAGCTAGCAATAATAATAAAGAATGAAGTATTGCTCAGAAAGAATGATATTTACCTATCAAGGTCATCAATCGCAATACCTTTGCCTGAAGAGCTTTTCACATTTGGTGGTCAAAACCACACATTTACGTGCATACACATTTTTTTATTTTGCCATTCGGAAGGCTCAGGTTCAAATACTGGCGTCGTACTAACATCCAAAAACTTAAAGAAAATTAAGCTAAATTCCCTAATTGCGGTCGCTCCTCGGCAGGGAATGTCAACCCCTCCGAGTGTATTTCTGACCTGAAATAAATATCCTCATAAAAAACCATCAGCCTATCGGAGGCGGATTAGTATAAACTGTAGGTCACTCCATTTGTTGGAAGAACATCAAAACGCAAAACCACAAATTGGAGGAGGAGCTCGGGCGAAAATCGCTTAAGCGGTTACAAAGCGCCAATAATATATATATATTCATTTATATATAGATATAAATATATAAATTTTTTAAGAAAAAAAAAATATTTCTTTTTAATACATAAATATCAAGTACTGTCACTGTATGTATGACGAAGTTGGTTGAATTCAATCATAATCTTGAAAGGAATTGCCACGTTTTTCGGCACTTAAATTTATGTTATTTAACACAGTTTGTGCAAAAAGTGCAATTTTTGTTCCTTGTTGAACTGCTTTATTCAGATTTGTCTCATTTTACATCACGCAGTCAAGTTTTAAAAGAGTTCGACTGAGTCAGTGGCTTGGTCATCATAGTCCCATTTAAATAATTCAAATTTCTTTCAAATGGAATATGCTTATTTTATATTTATACAGGTAATCCACAGAGCATTTACAAACCGCACCGGCGACGAATTACATCATTCCGGCTGGAATGCATGCTCTAGCTGCTACTACATTGATGATAATGCTAAACAGATACCAAAACGTGATAAATTGATTTTGCCTTCAATAAATTCTGATTTTATTTACATCTTGGATGTTATAACTGATCCACGGAAGCCGACAATATGTAAGATCATAGATGGTGATGTTCTTAAAAATCACGACGTCACTGCTCCTCATACCACGCATTGTCTAGCTGATGGCAATATTATGATATCTACACTTGGCGATGCTAAGGGCAATGCCAAGGGTGATTTTATTCTATTTGACACGAAAAATTTTGATTGTGTTGGCACTTGGACGAAAGGAGAACGTAAAGCCTTATGTGGCTATGATTTTTGGTATCAACCGTATTTCGATGTGATGGTATCAACAGAATGGGGTGCTCCAAGAATGTTTCGTCGGTAAGTTGACGTTATTGACAGTTAATTTGTTTAAATTTTTTTAATTATATGTGATTTTAATTTATATTTATTTTATTTATTTTTCTTTAATTTAATTTTATTTTATTTTAATTAAATTTATTTTCCTTCATTTATTATTTTAATTTATATTACTTTATTTAATTATATTTTTTTATTTTCTTCTTTATTGGCGTTGCACCGCTTACGCGACTAAAGCCGAATGATTTTACTTTAATTTATTTAATATTCAATCTAAATCTTATATTATGTTTCTTCACCTCAATTTATTTGGTTTTAGCTAATTTTATTTATTATTTTATTTTAATAACGTAATTTCATTCAATTTTATTTTGCTATATTTTATTTATTTTTCTTGTTTGTCTGATTTAATTAAAAATAATAGAATTAATTTAATTTTAGTGTCTTTTATTTAATGCTTAATTTTAAAAATTAAATAATTATTTAATATCACTTATATTGCTTTATTATGTTTTATTTATTTATTTTAATTTCTTTTTATTAGATTATTTTTTATATTATTATATTTATTAATGATGCTATATTCATTACACGTTAAATATTGTAATTTTGTAATTGTTTGATTGTTAACAACTTTTTTGCATTCTTCTATTCTCTATTAGTGGTTTCCGCGAAGAAGATCTGGATGATATGACTCAGTATGGTTGTCGATTGAATTTTTATAAATGGTCAACTCATACTTTATATCAGACAATCGATTTGGGTACTGAGGGCACAGCACCACTTGAAGTCCGTTTTATGCACGATCCAAAGCGTCCTGAAGGATATGTTGGTGCTTGCATGTACTCGAATATTTATTATTTCAAGAAGAAATCCGATTCGGATGACTTTGAAGCTAAAAAGGTTATCGATATACCTGCAAAACTCATTTCGGTAAATGGTGAAAACCCGAAAGCTTTGAATGGCATGATTTCTGATATTTTACTTTCTTTGGACGATAAATATCTCTACGTAAATAATTGGCTTCATGGCGATGTGCGCCAATATGATATAACCCATCCGGAGAATCCACGACTGACTGGACAAGTGTTTTTGGGTGGTGCCATTTGCAGCGATTTGAAGAATGTTGAGGTATTGGAAGACAAGGAACTTAAGGTTAGTTGGAAAAAACGTTGTTTCAAAACTTTAAAGAATTCTCATAATGTATTAATATATAATGTATATAGGCACGTCCCGAGCCACGTTACGTGAAAGGTCGCAGACTAGAAGCTGGACCGCAAATGATGCAACTTTCTTTAGACGGTAAAAGATTGTATATTTCATCATCGTTATATTCGCCATGGGACAAGCAGGTACATATGCGAGGATTGCTACTCCAGCCAGCATTGAATGAATCACTATTATTGTAAATTATTATATTATTTACATTTTTTTTTTAGTTCTACCCGAAAATGATTGAAAAGGGCGGACACATTGTTCAAATTGATGTGGATGTTGTTAATGGTGGCATGCGTTTAAATGAAGATTTTCTTGTTGATTTCGGCAAAGAGCCATATGGACCAACCATTCCGCATGAAATGCGTTATCCTGGTGGCGATTGCACTTCGGACATTTGGTTGGCTAATGATGGAAAATGAGATTTCACTACTAAATCTATATAAGTCATTTAAATTTCCTCAAATCGCTGAAAAAAAGTTAAGGAAATCAACGGATAATAAGCTCATCTACTGTAGGAAGACGGACTTCTGCACATATACGAATGTATGTTTGTTTGTAATGTTTAACGTTCCAACAGTATGATGATGATATGCCTTATTGAATTGAGTTTAACGTTGGCTTTTCATACGAAATGAGTTGTCAGCTAAGTATGTACATATGTATGTTATTTGAAGCATTAATTAATAAAAACAAAGCATAATTGTCATTTAAGATTTTTATTGAATTAAGCAAAATTAGGTGACTGAAATAATCCCGTTTGCAGGAAGTTAAATCACTAATCGGGATATCCTTGAAGTATTGAGAGTTTTGGGGTTTTTTGAGTGATGGTGGTAAACTCGTAGCTGAGGTCAAAGAACTTTTGTATTAAAAATTCTTTCTCATTCGAATTAGAATTCCGTAGCTATTTAGGAGAAAGGAAATCTCTGAATTACAGGGGTAAGCACGTATTTTCGAATGGCTTTCAAACATACGGTTCCAAGTATATATGTTTGTATATGGTCATATAAAATTTTTTGTGAGGCTTACATTAATCTTCTTTAGCAAATAATCTATAAAAATATGCTCAAGTGTTGACAACATTTTAGTTTCACACTAAGGAAAACCGAAAAAAATGCCTACATTAGGGTGGTAGTATTGAAAATAAATTTTCGAAGCCGTAAAAACGCTTTTTTACCGAACTTTGATAAGAAATATAATTTCTGGTTGTTTTCGTAAATATTTATTTATTTGCTTATACATTTAATTAACATGAAACATTTCTTATAATATAGTTTTTGCATATTGTATTTTCAGAGAATGTGGCATTTTATTTTAATATATTGTATGTATATGTATATTTAAAATTTTTTTACAAATTGGAACCTTCTTTCTCTAGCTTTAGCGTAAAAGTGGTGCTTACCAAAGAACGTTTAAATGAATACACTGGATAATTGTATTTGTATGCATTTTAGAGGTGTTTTTATACATATGTAATTTAATAGAAATATGTGGATGAAACTATAGATATACTATATATGTATAACAAATTGTTTTAAAAATTTTCATGTGATTTTAATTACTTTTTTTTATTAATTTTTTAAGTTCATTTTGAAATCGAAATAAGTATTTTCAATCTCTCTTTGAATTTGCCTAAATGAAAGGTAACAAGTAGTACATACACACACATTTTCCGCAATATCAGGAGCTCTTAGTTAGCAGTTTAAGTTAGAGATTGCTAACATTTCCTGGCTTAAAAACTAATTTTACTACAATATTTATTTACTCCTTTTTATAATAATACTTTGCTGTCAGTGCCACAGCGTTATTTGTTTGCAAGTATTGTATAATTACTATATTTATTACTTTTTAATATGCAAAAATACATAAGCATTTTGTTGTGATTCTTTTTTTATAAAAAGCTAAAAAATTATGATATTTTCAATTATTGTTGTTATTCATACATATTCTTCTTTATAATAACCATGCAATTATAATATTCATGCATTCAAAATTTACTAAGAAACTACATAAATATTTGTTTACTACTATATATATGTAGTTATGTATATGTGTGTCTACTTAAAGTCAGTTTTTATAAATATTTTATACATGTACCCATCTATGTATGTATGTTCAATTTATTTATTATTATTTATTTAGGTTACACACAGGCGGTTTGCGTTTGATATACACGTACATTAATTTGACGGTACTTATTGTGTTTTAATTTAATTTCAATGCAATTTTTCAAAAGAATTTTCTCAGCCGCTTACATGTGTTAATTGACTCAAATAAAAGTGAATGCGTTTGTAAATATTTATGTTTTTTGTTAAGAATTTTTATTATTATTATTTTTTGTTTTACAACCATTTGTTTTTGTGAGTTTGTGTAACGAACAACCCACCGACCGTTTTGCACATAATGTACATAATTTACTGTTAATTTTTTTGACTGTTTCGAAAACTCACAAAATATTTAATATTTGATTTTATAACTCTCTGAATTTAATGTTTAATTATTTCCATAGTGTGTTCCAAGGCGAATTTATAGGAGGTGAAGTTGTCGCATCATAAAATTGCTTGTTCTTCCTTCCATTTCAGCAAATTACACAAACAGAATACCAGAGAAGCATTTCGCACATTGAAAATTTTTCGTTCTTGATTTTTCGAAACTACGATTACGTAAGCAAAATACATACATCGGTTTTTTGTTTTTGTTTTCTTGCTAATACCGTGTGTGAATTCGCCTTGAGTGTGCTCAAAAGAAAATATGAAATATTTTCGAAAACGAAAATGTTGTTGGAAATTAATTTATTTTCTATATATTATTTATTGATTTTCAGTTAATAAATTAAATTTATTTGCTGAAATCATGAAACAATGACAAGTAAATTTCAGCCGTTCTGAAAAAATAAATAAAACCCAACCGCCGAGAGGGCGAAGTGACAAAAAGTAATTTTCAGTACGCATGTTTTTGCGCTCACTACGAATTTTTGCTTTGCTCATAACTTTGTAAAGGTATTATTTAACATAAACACGACATCGCACAGATTGTCGATTAGCACGGACAGAATATTTATTTCGTTTTGGAAAATATTTATCCACATATATTTTTTTCAATTCTTTGAGAAATTCTTAAATTGATGAAAACTTACGAGCTTTAATAAAATCTATCATAGAAAAGAACAGCTTCACTCGCAATTTCGATAGAAATAAATTGAAGGAATCCAATTCAACAAGGTTTAGTCTATAAGCTTGTGGATAAATTTTTAACTTTTGTTGAGTTAAGTTGTCAGAATTTTTGAATATCTTTGTTATTTGAATCGTGCTTCAAAACGTGGATGAATATGACTTGATTTAATAATAAGGCGGCTGTTTGATATAAAAATATATTTACAATTCCTTTTGCTTATTTAATAAAATAAACGAACGAAAACTGTATTTTGAAGCTATTGCTTTCTTGTTTAATTTTTTTAGCACTATTTTGTTGTAGTCGTTTTTATATATTTTGTTGTAAGTTCTTCAAAAATATTGCACATTCGATGCGGTTGTATAATTTTTATTGCGCTCATGATTGTGTTCTTACTTAAAAACAATTATTGTTTTCTCAATTAATCGGTAACCTACACTAGAACACGAGGTTGTATAAGTTTCATTGTTTATTTTATTTGAATACAATTTTTAGCATTGTTATCAATTAATCGATTTTCGTTTCATCGTTTAATCAAACCACGGTGTAGGTATGTTATAGGCGTTCAAACATTTAATGCTAATTTCTTAAAGCATTGACTGATATTTTTTTGCATTTACTTTAAATGTTGTCATAAAAGTCGAAAAAGCAAAACTAAAATTTTTAAAATTGAAATAGCAGCTACAACTTAACCTCCTTTATTTGCATTAAATTTTTCTGTTTTTCTTTTTGCTAAAAAATCCCTATTAAAACGCGCATTTAAAATTAATTTGCATCATTCGCCTTTCGTTTATTGTTTTATTTAATAAATACATATTTGTGTAGAAGCGTCTTTATAGTTTTAGGAAACTATTTTTTTTTTTAATAAATATTTATGTTGTGCAATTTGTTTGCTTAACTAAATCATTTTCCTTATATTGAAAATTACTACTTATTAATTGTTTTGTTTTCTTAGCCTACACATGTACTCGTATTTCCGCTTCGCCGCTCTCAACTCAGTTTAGGGATTTCTCCATCAACGAATTTGCCGCCATTATGCCATGCTCATGCACCTCCTCTTCATCGCCATTGTGCTGCTCATGTTGATTATCCACCACACCATTGCCATTTGTCGTTAGCAGCGCAGCCGCTGCCGGCGCACAACCACTACTACTACAAGCAGCGCCATTTTTCGCTTCATATCATCGACTCTGACAGGAGCTGGCAGCCGAGGATGATGAGAAACCAGATTGGAGGCTAGTCATAGAACCTTTGTAATTGGCCGAGCTGAGTACTTCGTAGAAAAAGTTTAATTGTGCTGGACCTTCAGGGCCACTCGATGGACTGAACCATTGCATGATGTAGGTGTGCGTGTGATGCATTACGTGCGAACCCTGAGTGTGTGGAAAATAGAGATTAGCAAAGTTCGAAGTACACAAAGCAAAGCTGAATGACTCACCTGCACACTCTCGCGGTGTCGGCAAATGAGCGTTGGTTCCTCCTTGAAATAGTGCTCACCCTCGACAAAATCGCTCATATCGAATATGGAAACTGCGGTATCTTAAGTAGAAAGAAACTTGGCAACATTGTAAACTAAAATCGAAAATTTACACCTTCAAACTTACCAATTTTTGACGGCAACTCTTTTGTCGCACGATACAGAGTAAAATGTAGATCACTTCGCATTACATCAAAATCCCAGGTGAGTACACTTTTCGGATCCTGATTGGGTATGATAACTTCGTGTATGTAACCAGTTCGCAGTTCAACAGTCTTGTAGAGACTGCGATGTTCGTGCATCAAAGCGCCACCGGCTGCTTCCAGCACCTTCTTATTCTCCTGCTCTTCTCCATCATCCTCCTCCTCGAGAGAATTCATTTTATATAGCGTTTTTGGCACAAGTCCACCTTCATGTATGAGTGTCTGTGTAATTTTCAGAAAATTGCCGAAATGGAATCGAAAAGAAAAAAAGAGTTTGGTAAGTTTTATATTAATTATGTTTTCATTTAATTACAATTATGCATAAATTGCGCGGACAATACATTTGGTACAAGTGGAAATTTTGTGCTGAATTCGTTTTTTGAGTTTTTCATTTAAGGCCATGTGTATATGAATGCCAGGGATGTGAAATTAATCAGTGAATGCATTGCAATTTGTCATTTTTTGGGTAACCTGGCTAATATTAGATTTTCATTAAATAATTTTTGATTTGAGGGATTTCTGTTTTATTTGGATTAACCAAAACCTTAACCTGCCATCCAGACTGAGGGCCAGAATTTGGCTCCCCTTAAAGCCGGATAATATCCTATAAACTATTAGGGTTTTCAATCCACAACTACTCACTACCGATTGGAAAGTAGTAAAGGTGTACCCTAAATCCAACGCGACGCGTCAGGCAGTGGTAACGCTGAACAAGGAGTCACGCTCAACACTGGAAAGAGGGCAAAATTAAGTTCAGCTTTGTCGCGGCCATGGTCGAGGTATGCAACCACGACCTCAAAGCGGCGAAAACCCTGATTGTTGACGTGGAGCTGAAGAAATTGATGTTGAGAAGAAATTCAGGGGATGTCATTGGATGATCTGAAGAATGGCTATTCTTCATCCCCATGAAAGGCGATAGACAGCGTCAGAAGGGAGTAAGCTCAGGAAAGTACTCTCAATACCCACTTTCTTGATGCATCGGAACCTACAGGGAATGAATCAGTACCCATAGTAGGTTTAAATCATATAAAATTCCACGACCTGTTGAAAGTGCACCGATCCAATTACAGCAACTCTTGTACAATATATCAGCGTCAGCTGGCTGTATGCTATATTGAAAGAAGCGTTAAATCTGAACTATATATTTAAATAATGGAGGGAAATCCAAATTGTTTTTAATCCCAAATAAAAAATATAAAAATAGCAAACCTTAGGTTTTCGAATTAATCTTTCCTGCTTAAGGTAGCAGAACGATTCATGTAGGTTCACATTAGATCTTCTATGAATTATAATCTCTCGGAAAACCTACCTGCCTAAATGAAAGTTAGGTCAACGGAGACACATATTTAGGTATCAATCCCGAATAAAGAAAACAGTCTCGTAGCTTTTATGGATATTAGGGGTGCCTTCAATAATACTAGCGCCGACTGCAGTTAGTTCTGACCTGGCATGCCTGAGCGTCAACTCGGGTAATTTCTCTTAGACGGCAATTGTGCCACGTTGTTTCGATTCGAATCAGTTTTCAATCAATTTTTATATCCAATTATTTGTTAAACCGTACAAATCTAATATTATCGTAGCTAGCAGTTATTGATACGAGAATTATAATTCGAATCCGGGATAAGCCTGCTTTTAATTTTTTTTTCTAATTATAAAATAAAAATAATTTTCGTCAAAAACTAATAACCGTTACAAGGCTATTTGTGATATTATTTTGATGGGCAGGTCACACTCACAAATTTTAATTCTTCTCAGGTTTTGATTGCAATTCCTTTTACTGACACTTGGCTGCAAAAAATGGTTGATTTCATTATACCCTACTCGTGGAGAACATCTTATATATAATGAATTCTTAGAAGGATTTTTAGACTGAACTGAACCTAAATAATGTTGATCTCTTTAAGAATAATTCTGACATTACTCCTCAATAAGCACTCCTCTGGTTTACCAACCAGCTATTGCTACTATTTATTTTAAGCCAAACTAAACGTTGTTTAATAAAAAATCCCAAATCAGTTTACAGTTTTGTAAGGTCATGTGCAGCAGCTCTCGAAAATGAAAAAAGTTTTTGACTGTCACTCACCTGGGAGTGGCCAGAAACAATTCTTTTACATATGGTTCAATCAACTCAAGACTTCCGTTCTTAGACCAAGTGTCCTCATGGTAGCCAACAAACATTGCAGGGAAACCTTCCGTTGTGCGCGAAGATTGGGACTCACCACATGAAAAAATTTATTCCAATGAATAGTTACAGAAAGCCTTGGATAAGGGCCGATGTGACCAAGGACACTTTTTATGAGCGCCTTGAACGTGGCTATGAGCGCTGCCCCCACCTCGACGTGAAAACTGTGCTTGGCAATTGTAACACCAGTGCACAATAGTCATAAAATTTAAACTCTGTGGCGAAACATCGCCAAACGGCCTGAGCCTAATCGACTTCGCCAGGGCCCGAAAAATGGTTCTCTGTAGTACTAGATTTCCGCACAAGAAAATACATCAAGCTACTTGGCTGTCCCCTGATCGAAAAACACAAAACCAGATCGATCATGTTATAATAGACGGAAGATATGTGTCCAATGTTCTTGGCGTGCGTACACTCCGAGGACCCAACATCGACTCGGACCATTATTTTGTTGCAGCGAAGATACCCACCCGCCTTTGTGCATCGAAGAACGCTTGTCAACAAACACAAGGAAATTTTGATGACGAAAAGCTGCAGTCACAACAAACAGCCGAATGGTTTGCTAATGGGATTGCACACCTGCTGAGAGCACCCATCACCAACACGATATAAGAGAATTGTGAAACGGCATCTCAAACTTCCTACATACCACTGCTGCGTAAACAATTGTCTTTCGCTAGTGCCAGAAAAAGAGCTGGTAGGATAAGAAATGTCATACTAAAGGAGAGAGAGAGTTATTTGGACATGGCGGAGAAGAGCTATCAATACGCAATAGCAGCTTTTTTAGCAGAATAAAGTCGGATGTAAGGATGCTTTATGGTAAGAACTTAGATGTGCTCTGCCTGATCCACAAAAGGCGCACAGTAAGGAGCTGCCTCTACGACGTTATGTCTAAATTTGTTACTTTAGGATTGTGTTAACTTACGCTGGGCAACACCGGAACTGCAGTCAGAATTGGGGAAAAACTCTCCGATCCATTAATACTAAACGAGGCAAGCTGACGCTTTATCGCGCGATTTTTTCAATTAGATGCTGGATAAAATAATAAGAGCTGTAGATTTAAATAAACAATGTACAACCTCTTACGGCTTCGGTAAGCCGATGACATTGATGTTCTCTACACTAGAGAAAGATAAATTCGCCTATCTTGGAACTAGTATTAACACCTGTAACAATGTCAGCCCAGAAATCGCACTCAGAATCTCTCTTGTCAAACAGGTGCCACTTTGGACTGAGTAGGCCATTGAAAAGTAAAGTCCAAACCAAACTCTACAAGTCCCTCATCGTTCCCGTCCTACTATGTGGTGCAGAAGCGTGGATAGTAGCGGCTCTGAGAGTCGCCGAGAGAAAAGTGTTGCGTAAGATTTATGGTCATTTGCGTAATGGCTTTGGCGAATACTGCAGACGATGAAAAGATGAGATTAGAGATTTATGCCGTGTCTTTGATGTATGTATGTAGTTCATCGAATGAAGAGATAGCGGCTACGCTGGAGAGGACATGCTGTTCGAATGGATGAAAGCGCTCCAGCTCTTAAAGTATTCGATGCAGTATGATGGAAGCAGAGAAAGACCTTCACTGCGTTGGAAGGATCAGGTGGAGCGCGAACTGGTTTCACTTGGTATTTCTAATTGGTACCAAACAGCGATTTGGTTATAATAACGAAAGCGTGCCAATGAAAAGGAAGAATAAACTCTAAGCGCGAATTATCTCGGTTTCCATCGACTGTGATGTTTCAAAATTACAGGAAAGAAGTTCTTTGGTGGAAAACTTTACAGGTATAAATTAATGCCAAAAAGCTTCCGGAAATCACTCACTCACTCCGTGGAACCCGTTCCGATTCTATTGAAGCCATAAAAGAAAGATCGTAGGGGTAACTGGCGTCGACTGATTCCAACAGGTGATGCAAACTGGTTGACAGATCCCGCTCACATTTAACAAAACAAAGCTTCTGAAAAATATTCAACGCGGGCAGATTAAATGACAATTTCCGGAAACTTTCTGTTCTTAATGTACATATGTATATGAACTGTATGCAGATCCGAAATTATTTGAATCGTTTATCACAAATCATTTGACCAGAAAGGGTTTGTTAAGAGAAAATCTGAAACAACCAATTTGCTTGAGTCTACTAGATGCTAAACTCGAGGTGCTTTATATGTCGATCGAGATATTTAATGTGTGCTTGCCTATACGCTTACCACCATCAGGAATGGTTGAAGCGTGATATTTACTAAACATCTATACTTAAAAATCTTCTCTGTTTTACTTCCAAGCTTAGACAAGTCGGAGCCGAGATTTTGTTGATCAACTGATGTTGTTGTTTCAAAGTCTTATCTACTAACTGAACAAGCACGAAACTATTATTTGTGTTTGTAATATACGTACACGTATGTATGTTTGTATATAGTAAATATATGCATTTATGTGCACATAGAGGACAATGAACTTCCTTTAGCGATTTATTATCACTGCTTTGAATAAAAAAAAAAAAATAAAAAATTGAAAGTATCTAGAAATGCTGGAGACGTTCGTACAAAGTACGGAACATGACATATGTACATACAAACATTTTGAATTATCTTTGCACTCAACAAAACATATTAAGTAGAACTGGCACAAACATGATTTGCATGAGCACTACTTTGAATAAAAAAAAGTGTTCAATATACATATATACATACATTTATGCACATACGAGTATATATGTATATGACCACTTTGATTAACACTAGACAAATGGTGGAGTAGAAATTTCTACTAAAACAAAAAAGTAACATAAAATCTAAGTAATAGCGCCTCTTACACAATCGCAATTGGGAAAAAAGCAATGCGTAAAATGTTTTTGATTAATTATTTCCACATACGGAATGTAGGTCAGTGTAGACTGCATTTGGTTAAGGACAAAATTTCAATGTTTTCAAAAATTCGTATGCATTCGAAAGGGAGAGAGAGAGAGAGGTATATGTACAATTAAAAAATATTCGAAATTTTCAAAAACAAAGTGAATTCATTACCAGTTGAAGATTGTGGAGAAATTTAGAAAAAAAAATACTTCAAAATTGTTGCAAACCCTTTTAGAATTCTTAGTAAAGGGCTTTCCGATAAGAAGTGTTATTTTGAATAGCCCGCTCTTCCGGAAGATGCCGATTCTGAAAATGTAGTTTTTTGACATTTGACAAATAAACACTACGCCAGTCTTAAAAATGGAACGGCCGCGGTTGCCGAGTAGTTAGCGGGTTCAAATCCTGGTGTCGTATTAACATCCAAAAAGTTATAGAAAGTGAATTAAAATATAAAATTAAGCTAAATATTTTAATTGCGGTAGCCCCTCGGTAGGGCCGCCTTGGAGTATATTTCTGACATGAAATAAAGCTTCTCATAAACACCATCGGCCGTTCGGGGGAGGCTTAGTCTAAACTGTAGGTCACTCCATTTGTTGGAAAAACAGCAAGACGCAAAACCACAAATTGCAGAAGGAGCTCGGGGAGGAGCGCCAATTATATATATATATATATATATATATATATATATATATATACACTTCAACAGTGCATGGAAATGATTAGAATTCACTATAAAATTGGTGAAAACTTGGCAGAGACTGTTTCTAAAACTAAATCATTTTTCGGTAGTCCTGAGGCATTTTTTAGGATCGCCATACAGAAATTACTTGAACGTGCAGCTGTTAGGGCAAGTTAGTGATACTCATCGTTCTTTGGTATTATATTACGCTGTATTTTTACATAGAAGCTTTGGACTTAAGTCTTATAAATATCAGTTAACGCAAGAACTCAAGCCGGCTGATCATCAACAACGTCGTTACTTTGCTCATTGGTGCCAGGCTTTTCCTGGAAACGATCCTGAATTTCCCCGAAAAATAATATTGATTGGTTAAGCCCATTTAAACCGCGATGGCTACGTCAATAAGCATTAGCCATGATTTATTTTTTTGAGAAGCCTCTTTACTTTTAACGTGTAACTGTTTGCTGCGGGTTATGGTGCGGCGGCGACTTTGGACCTTACTTTCTCGTAGTTAAGGCTAGAGCAACAGGTACGGTGAATAGATTACTCTATGAAGAGATAATGAATAATTATTTATGGCCGGATGTTTTCGGACCGTATTGTCTCACGAAGAGGTGATCGGAGATCTTGTGATTTAACACTTTAATGCTTCTTCCATTGAACTACGTGAAAGCTCTACGCCAACAGGCCAACAGGCCAACGTTGATTCAAAACATCAAAGATGGAATTCGTGAAGCCGTTGAGGGCATACAGCAGCCACTTTGGTGCTGGAAAATTTCATAAAAAGGACACGGTCTAGTAAGCGTAGCCGTGGCGGTCATTTGGCAGAAATTATTTTCCATTATTAATTGCATATTTTACGCTTTTCACTGAAATAAACGTCCTAAAGAAATTCCATTTATCGTTGAATATCAAAATAATACCTCTTATTGGAAAACCCTGTATAATAAAAAGGTTTACACTTCAAAAAAAATAAACCAAAACAACAAATAGAAAATATTTGTTAATTATTTGTTATTGTACTATTTTTGTCTTGTAATGTATTCGCTTTGTTTTTAGATTTTAAATAAAAACTTAAATAATTACACATACAGTGCATAAATAAAATCCATCGTACCCACCTTACATGGACCACCCAAAAAGTCGGGTATAATCTCGGAATCGATGTATTGCTCCAAACCGTCTTTCATGTGCAGACAATCAGGACCGCCGTAGAATAAGAATTTTGAGCGTGTGTTTTCATCTGGTGGATTAAGTAGAGTTTTATTTTTCGCTAATTTGTGTTGTTACTAAAATCCTCTATACTTACGTATAAAAGCGCTCACAATGGTCCAAGCGATGGGAAAGACGCGCGGCGCACGCACTACCAATACACGACCCATCGTTTCGGGATAATTGCGTTCCACAGTTTCGATGATATTGAGCAGAGCTTTAACACCCGGACGCCAGAGGTGCCGCATTGAGAGACCCTCGAGGTCGACCAGCATACACCAACTGAGTATAGGTTGTCCAAGCTTCTCAGCAGATTCTTTTATACGCTCCATGCCCTCCTCACAAATGTGTAGCGTCTGAAAAGCACAAAGCACATTATATGTATAAGATTTATAAATATTAAAGAACTCTTCAGAAACTCACCAACTTTAGTAGACCCTCAGTGCCAATTGACTTCAGCAGTCCCTTGACATCCATGTGCCCCAAACGTAGTATATAAATCGGCCGTCCGTCTTTATCGTGATGATGCCAACCGCCTGGAAAGTGATTTACTACCACCGCCGGCGCTTTATATTCTTTTACGAGTGAATCAATGTTATGTTCTTTGCGCCACTTGAGCGAATCTTTGAGCATAGTGAAGGCTTGACTCACATGCCAATCGCGTGCTGTCAAGAAACGCAGTATGGTCTGATAACTTGGCATTTCCTCCAAGTCTTCGTCACCATTCAGCATTTTTCGCAGCTCCAGCAATTTGGACGCCTGCATCGGGGTGAGTGTGCCTAAATTTTTCGCTATAAAATCACCATCCAGTAGTACATCATGCGACGAGCGTCGCCGTTCGTCATCCTTGATGTTGTTCTGTTGCGCTGGTTCTTCGCTAGGTTCGCGTGTGGTCGGCGTACTCGGGGCATCGGCTGGCGGCATCCAACGTTCCACTACGGTAACACCTTCTGATTCTAATTTATTTATGAAAAACTCAATGATTTCTTTGCCCTTAAGGGTTGTTTGTGTATATTGTTTCATGCCCATCTTTTCCATTGAGTGTTCAAAACCGAAAAAGTTTTTAATATCCAAAGTTGCGGTTTGATCGAAGCAGGTCCATTCCGGATTGTCGGGATGTGCATAATATCGGCAACGTTCGAATATCTCAATACGCGATGAAAAACTTTCGTTCACAGCTTCAATATTCAACGTGCGATTGGCCAGATCGAGGTAGTTGTGCTGTAGGAAATATACAAAGTCTACACCTATTAATTTTTTGAAAATATACGGTGCATCCACGGCGAGCTTGCACCGTCGACTCGTATTGCGCTTGGCGCCATTCTCCAACACTTCGTCTTTGATGATCTCGCAATCAAGCACAATGGGCATTTGTGGACATTTCGGGAAGCGGCATTCGTAGGCCTGAAATGAGGTAGAAGGGCTTTATGAGTATTAAATACTTTAACCTACATTTAGAAAGATAATAAACGATATTTCACAAGTGTACAAGATTTAACACCTAGGCAAAAGTTGTTTCTATCATAATTTATGACTCTGAATTTGAATTTTCAATCTTTTAAGATTGTTTCCAGTTTTTGATATAGTCAGTAACTTTTTACGACTTTTCACAAATAATAATCATTTTATTCAATTTAAAGTAACAAATCAGAAAAATTCTTAGCGTCGTCTTTCGATGTTGGCTAGATCTTGGTGTAACTACTTCGCTTATTTTGTCCAAGTTTCGGCAAAAATATAGAATACGTATTTTCCAAATTTTCGATAACTTTCAAAAAAAATTTCCAGTTATTTGCTGAAAATTTGGTGGTGGTTACCAAGAAAGTGGTGAAGAACATTTCGAAAATATGGTCAAACTGCCCAACTTAATCAGCCCCTCTTCTCCCATCGTAAATAAAAAAAAATGTTCGGATTTTTTCTCTTTTCCCCTTTTTCGTATTCTAAACAAACTTCAAAAATGGGGAAAAAATACCCAATGGAAAAAGTTGGCAGCACACCAAGGCAAATAAAATTCGGCTTATTTCAATATTCTGCGAGAGTTTTTTCCCCACTGAAAGTGTGTGGGGGTTTTTATAATAAAATGTAAGTATTTAATAAATATAACACAAATAATCGTTTTCATGGTAAAGTAAAGTGCAGTTGTAGTTGGTAGTAGAGCTCATGGAAACTCAATCGGCAATAGCCCAGGAATTAAAGGTAATAAGGAGGAGTTGAACCAATTTTGGAAGAAGGTTAACTAATATTGTTGGAACTGAAAAAAGTAAAATTTCTTTTCCATTTAAAGGCGGTTTTTTGATAAATAAGTGTAGCTCAAAACTTCAAGGCCAGAAAACACGACAGGAGGCGGCCCTAGTGCAGAGCGTAAAATTATCCCCTCCCGAAGAAGCGGAATTCAACCTCATTGGGATGAAATAGTGGGTGGAAGTGTTGCCTGCAAGGAAGTTTGGATTGCAGGAGCAGGAGACCTTGCCAAACGACGTGGTTATTTACCTTGGTGTTGAATTTATCTACATTGAAGAAGGATTCGTTGCCATTCTATGTCATTTGCTTCAGTAACGAATTCCATAATTCTAATTTAATTTTTTTTTAACAATTGTTTATTTCACCAAATTATCAAATGTAAATAACACAAAAAAAGCTAAACAGCTGATTTCTAAAAAGAAAAAAACCAATTCTCAAAAAATCATTCCCCTTGTGCATTTAGAATCTTTCCTCAGGGGATTTCTAAATCCGCAAGTGAGAATTTTCGAGAGAATATTCAGAATTGAGAGAGGCTCTGCGCCGAGTACTCCGATGGTGAACATATTTATGTGTTCTGTCCCTGCCATCGAAATTGTGCTTGGCGACCTTAACAATCATAAGTTGACAATCATAAGTTCGAGGACGTAGATAATTTTACTTACTTAGGGACCAGAATTAACAGCCTTGAAATCCAACGCACAATAACAAATGCCACGAGGTGCAATTGCAAAATAAAGTACTCTCCCGATGAATCATCCTTCCCGTCCTGCTACATGGAAGAGAAAGAGGAAAACCTCCACTACGTTGGAAGGATCAGGTAGATAGCAACATTGTTTGACTTTGTGTTTCCAACTGGTACCAACCAGCGAAAAGAAGGAATCAATGGCGCGATAATGGTTATTCGGCTATAACCTCGTAAGAGGAGCTTACGCCAATAAAGAAGAAGAATGTCGTCATAGGAACTTATGTTTTCATTTTTTTGGATACACCAACGGCAATCAACGTTGTATTTGGTTAGGACAAATGCAAACTCAAAGATGATGATGATACGTAAACGCAGTTTAGATAAACCTTAATCGATTTAACAGTCGTTATGGTAGTACAATTCTACCATTACATTAGAACTCGGAAACTAAAACCATTATTCTCTATCAGATGAAAAATTCGAATTTAGTCTACTCGGGTTCAGAAGTTAATTTGACTTTGTTAACTTGAGTTATCATTACGAGAACCTTTCGGATAATTTGTACGGTTTTTCTAGATTCTATATTTATATCATGGGAAACGACCTTTGACAAAATACATTTGCCTGCTCATCAGAGAGAACTTATCCTTGCTAAATGCTAGTGGCCTTAGTATAGAATATTTCTCTTAAAACATACTTCAGAATATCCATAGCTATAAGCTCTTAAGCATTTTCCGATCAAGTTTCTCCACCAACTTGGTATGCTTCTTCAAGTGCACCTTGGTGTATGCATTACGAAAATATACATACAGACCTTGAAATACCAATGGTAAGCACAGAAGTGTCGAATATCCGTCGAAACTGCAAAATCACTCGAACCCTCTAGTTAGCCTTTTGAAGAACAATGTGTTAACTGATGTCCATTACAATTAATGGACCAAAGAAATTATTTATTAATATTAAAACACTTATTGTTCGCCTAAATTGAGGAGATTTAATAAAAACATTTTTTTGGTGTAAACAAAAGTTTTATTTAATGAGTTCTATTTTTTTTATATAAATAAAATTAGGGTTCTCATATTTTGAAATAATATTTAAGAAGTTGTGTACATTATTAAAGAATTTGAGTAAATGTTTGCCTTCAAATAAATAGTTCATTAAATTGTTTATACAGAATCTATTTTGTTTGTGTCTTGCTGTGATCTCCTCTCCTTCTCTCTTTAAAAAAAAAATCATCGCACAGCAGCAGCTGACAGTAGCACAATAAAATTCCGCGCAATTTATGTACGTATAATAAAACAATGTTAAGGGCACTTATATAAAATTGTTTACATAGATTTTCATTTTATTGCTTATACGCGACAGTCACATAGAGACGTCGCAAGCCCTGCCATCTCTCCGTCATACCCTTTTCCATCCAATTTCGCTCTTAAAATAGCAATAGTTTTGTCTTGTTGTAACTGTCACCAAACTGTCTGGGTTCTTGTCAATTTTGCTACCCTTGCCTTGCCGCTTGTGCTTGAACTTGAACTTTCATGGTGGTGCCCCGCTTCGCTTTCTGGCGCAGTGGTAGCTATTTTTAGACAACCCGCTGAAATAGCTAATTTGTTTGCATAACACTTGAAATTGATGGTAATACTTAACATAAACTTTTTTTTTATAATAAAAATTGTATACTTGTGTATAAAATATGACGAGCTGCTGAAAGGCCTTAACTGTACATTTTCGAACTCTACAAAGAGTGTCATCAAAATGAAGAGCTTTAGGAGAGCTCGCCAAATTTGAAAGGGTTTTAGTTGATATGGGTTAAATTATTGCAATCGAGTAATTATAATATAGAAATAAACTTAAGAGTGCTTTGTATCCTGGCATGACTAAAATCCAAATTTATCAAAAATTTTAACATAATTGTAGAAGCCTCAGAAAGACAAAAAGTGTAGGTCAGTCCGCTTGTTGGACAAAGATCATGGTCCAAATCGAAGAAAGTTCTGCCAAAATAAAGCTATAAAGACACAATTATATAAATGAATTTGTTGAATAGTTGCATTTGCGTTGGGTGTAGGATACTATTCATGATTGAAATATTTTAAATAAATTTTTTTTTTTCAGTAGAATATATAATATTTATTAAAATATTGTTGCTGAATATAAGGGGACTCTCTCCTGATATTGGACAAAAATCGGGCAAAATTTGTATTTTTTGCGGGAGAATGAAAAAACGTACGAACTTCCGGAAAATATGTTTATTAATTGAAATTTTAAAATGGCAAAAAAATAGTCAAAATTAAAAATGGCGGCTACTAAATGGCGCTTTCCGTCGGCCACTGCGCGAAAAACATGGCCGAACAACTTCAAGCCTAAGAGTATAACCTCTTGAAGTATACTGAAATTAAAAATCATGAAATCATGAAATTTTCTACGTACTGAACTTCAGTTGAGAAAATTTTAAGGATAACTTTATTGCATAATGCTTATTGCAATTCTAAAGTTAAATTTTTTTGCTACTTTTTTCACTTCAAATACGTTAACCCTAGGTTCAAGACGTACAGAAAACCATATACTTTGACACAGTTTTTAAATAAAAGAAATCAGATGTATGATCAAGCCCGGGGCTTGAAGTTAGATCAGGAAACATGGTTTCGAGAAAAGTGCATTCAAAGTTCCTTGAAAGTCTGCCTTGCGTGCGTATATGCGGGAGATTGGTGTGTTCGAGAAGCTGCCGTTTGAAAAATATTTATCGTATTGCAAAATCTCTTTAAACACATACTCTACATATATATATCAAAATTTCATTTTTTGCGTACAAAAATCGATATTTTGATCCAAAATCAGGGTAGGGTCCCATTAAGAAAATATTAATATTATTTGAATAATATTGTATTAAAATTAGTAAATATTAAATGTAGTTTTCAATTAGGACGACTGCTTGCCAATGCTTTTCTTGTTTATTTTCAGTGTGGGATATTTTAATCAATTTTTTCTCTTTTTTCATTGTACTAATAGCACAAATGGATGGTACTTATCTATTATATTTTCTTATGCACAATTCGCTTCGCTTACCATAAAAGTGAGTGAAGTGAAATGTAAATATTTAGGTCGTTAAAAAATACATCGAAAAAAGTAAAATTTTCTTTGAATAGAAATGGTAAACAAAAACGATTTTTTTTGGAAACAAATTTTATAAAAATTTAAATACATTAGCAAAGTGTAATTAAATCGAAAATATTGTTATTAATTTAAAATAGTACTGTAAAAATCCATTTAAATTTTAATTTTCGAAATTCTTATGGCTTTTGCTCATTTTCTGCACGAGCTAATTTCCTCGTTGTAAATGTAATTAAAAAGTTTGCACATAAAGTGTTATTAAATGCGAAGACTACATTTTTGCATTTGCCTAAAAACGTCAATATATATATATATATATATATATATATATATATATATATTTACGTGTGTACATTAGTGTGGCGCTTATTTTAAA